GGGCATATCCAAATCATTGCTGTCTAATAGTTGCTCGCTATCGGTGTTTCCATGCCGATGTGTTTCTACATCTGCCACTGCAGGGCCGGATCGGACAAAATAGCAGAGGTTTAGGGGGATCAAAGAAGAGCCCGCCAAAGAAAAGCAGCGACATGTTCTCGTCCCATACGCGTGACTGACCAAACCACGCCATAAACTCACACACACACACCGCCCACCTCGTCATGGTCGGCATGGATGAGGAGCAAAGGCACGTCCGCACCTCGTGTGCTCTGGAGGGAGAGTATGAAGCAGGGGACGCCTTTAGGATGACTTTTTGCCCAGTCTGCCGTGGTCTCTAAACTTGGCAGTGAATCATCCATTGGGCCCTCAACCGGCATGAGTTCTAGCCCTTTTTTGAAAAACCAAAGTTGTTTGCTTCTTGGCAAAAGTGACAAGCAGGCCAAGCTTCCGAACCCGAATGGCACTGGGTTGTTCAGAATGGGTTCATCCCCAAACCTAATCCAAACATCCGTGAAGGGCCACTGGCTACCAGGGGGACCACTACCAGCTGGCCGTTTGAAAGATTGAAATCCTTAAACAACCCGGCTAAGGTAATTTGTATTTTACATGGCCTGAGCCGGTTTGCTACGTTCTCCAAGGGCCACCCCAGGCCGACCCGCCAACCCGATCTCGAGACTCCGGCCCTCTCTCGCCACCGCTGTCACCGGAGACACCTCCGACAGGGCGTAGCCATAGCACCAGGGGTTCAGCCAATCCGCCTGCGCTTCGGATTCCCGCAGTCAGGAAAGGAGCCTCTGACAACCAAGGAACCTGCAAACAGCGCCTTGAATTTTGAGAAATCTATGATCCCAAACTGGGGATCAAGGAAAGCCTTGAGCCCCCGCTGGAGGTTGCCCAGGTTTCTTTGTGTTTCCTGTCAAAACCGGCCAAAAAAGGGCCTTTGAATGTTCAGAGTGAATTGTAATAAATCTCCAGCACGAACAAGGCACCCTCTCAACAAACGTTTTCATCACGTGTGTCGCAAACTCGTTTGTGACATCGCAATGAATTGCCTAAGAAATCTTGGTCGTGTGTGTGTATGTGCGTGCGTGCGAGTTCGTCTGTGTGTGTGTGCGTGTCACGCCTTTTTGGGGACAATGAAGCCCGCAGGCAATTCTCATGAAACTGACGATGTGGATCCTGCCCAAATATCTGAGGAACGCTGGGGAGGGGGGGAGCAAAACATGTGGTTTTCCTTTGTCTTCCCTGAAAACCAACCTTCGTACTCTATAAGTCCGTCCCTGGCTAGAAAGAAGCACAACTTTCAACCAACCAAACTTTCAGAGATATGCCCAAGGCTCCCTCGCTTTCAAATCTTCAAAGTTGCATGCGGGTGATTCCTAAAAATGCGGACCTCCGTGATTGAAAAGCGGGCCTCCGTGTTCGAAAAAAACCCAGAGAGCCCAATAGTGCTTAATCGAGGAATTCGATCTTAAACTCACAACCGATGCTAAATATGAAGAATTCGTGCTGAATTAGCGTGTTTTGTATTTGTTGAGTGCGGCCTTAAATAAAGCAGACTTATCCTCAATTAGCAAATGTTTTCTTATGTAAGAACTATAGACCTTAAATGAGCAACAGTTGAAAATTTCGGTCTTATTTTTAAGATGTGTTTATTCAAAAAACATTGCATATTTAAAATGTGTTTTCGTGGCGTTGCAGCATGCAAAATCTGGTATAGCATTTGGCTCGAAAGGATGAAAGCAGGGGCACACCATTGCAGACAGGTGTGTGCAAAGAGCAACTTCAACAGCAAGCATCCAACGCAAGTGATGCGCCCTTGCAAGGAGGGAGTGACAAAGGAACAACACAGCAAGCAGGCGATATGTCTGCAGAAGAACTGAGGAAGATGTACAATTTGTCAGGGGCCTCCGCAGTCGAACTTGTGTCTTCAGAGGAAGAGCAGCGAACAGCATCCTATCACACGCATGTCTGTTCAACCCTGTGCAAAGGGCTGTTTGCCTTGGCAAAACCATAGAATTGCTTTAGGTAGGTTTGCAGTTTGCAAGTTATGCGCTCTTCTGAGCTTTGCTGGCCAATCCTGTCAGAAGTACCGTGATTTTGCACCTGCTGATAAGAAGGCCCTCATTGTGGAGTACACAAAGAATGGAGGCGCAAAGGCTCTCAGCTGGGTTCCTGACTACAGTGAGAAATCGTCAATCTCCACAAACAAACAGGCATCCATTACAGGGGCTACATGACCAGCAGCCAGACCCTGCAAATTAACAGGCTGTCAGTTCAGCTAGGCAGTGGTTGCGCAGCTGGTGAAGGAATGCTGGGAAGAGCAATTGTTGGACCCCACAGGACGCAGGCCATGCACAACATCCAGGCTATGCATAGTCTGTCTGTGTGCGTATCTATCTATCTACTCGCCTTCCTACCTACCCATTTTCCAACCTACCAATCTACTAATTTACACACAATTCATTCAATCCATTTATCTAGCCCACTTTCCATCGATCCATCAATCAAACTGTCATCCTCTATCTATCTAACTATCTATATCTATGTATCTATCTATCGCCTCTTTCTGTCTGTCAGTCGATCACTCTGTCCCTCAGCCTATCTACCCGTCGAATCTCTCAAGCCAGTTCCCTGAGCATTTTGACCCGTTGCCGAAACGGGAGACGTCACAGCTGCACCGCCTCACGTGACGAAGAATCAAGGGCGAATCAAGGGCGGGATCATTTTATGTGATTGGCGCTTTGCCGGGCCGGGGGGCGGGCACCCCAAGCCTTTCCATTGACTGCGTCGGAAAAGTCGCAATGCCAAAGTGACGTCACCCCCAAATGCTTTGCGTTTCTCCCCCCCACCTTTGCGTCTGCTTCCTCTAAGTCGTCCAGCGACCTGGCCAACGGAGAAAGCGCACCAGGGGGCCAACAATAGAAGCGTAAAGGCTGCTCTGACCCCGACCGTTTTGTGTGGTATTGTTTTCGTACAAAAGATCCCTTGCAAGACGCTCACGCGCATTTCGACTGCGCAGGCTCGCGCGCAGTGCTGGGCTGGGTTTGGCGTCTTTCGAGGGTGGGCCCTTGCTGTGGTGCCGCGCGCCGAAAATGGTTGATTGCTTGGATGGGCGTGCTGCTTGCTATGTCGTTACGGCGCATGCGGCACTTGCGTAAGTTCGGCAAGTTGAACATTTAAGTTGGCTAACACGTTGTTATTGAACTTTGTTGGTTGTTTAAGTAGGGCGTTCGCGCTGTTGGATACGCTGTCTATATAGGTGTAGGTAGTATCTGGATAGTTTACGGGTATGTAGATACGGCGCATAGCCGTAAACTTACGTCACATAGCTCTATGTGTGATAATTAGGTTAGAGCCCCAGCCTATATGTTAGTTAACGGACTTAGCAGACATACCGCTAGCTTTGCTAAGTCCAACTTAGCTCACATGTAAGCGTGACAAATACACATGTGGGGACACAGGTCAAAAGCACACGGAAAGTACGGCAAAGCACGGAAAGCGCGGCAAGAGACAGATCAGCACGTCCCTGCATAGAAGTTGCACAGGCCCCCTTTCAAGATTGAAAAAAGGAGAAGGTGTATAGGGTTGCGTGCGCTAGCCGAAGCATTTTTTAAATAAGAACTTGTTCAATGAACTTTCCAAAAGGGTTCCTTGCGCAAAATAGGCCTGCCTTATGGTTTCGCATATTTTCATGCGCTATTGAAACAAGGACGGGAAATACAACTCTAGAACACACTTGACGTGGCGCATGAGTTTTAGAAAGCTCATTTTATATATAGCGGGTCCATGAAAAAAGAAGAACCCATATCCCAACCATCAACTTCCCTTCCGGATACCCCCGAAACCTACACCCTAAATATAGATACGTGTGTCTGTTCTATTGATGATGTGTTTTTGTGGTGGTTTTCAAGGGGGGCAGGGTTCTTTATGAAACTGGGGACCCCCTTGACAATAAAACAACTTAGCCCATATCCGAACCCCGGCCACGCTGCGCCCGATTGCCCTGGCAAAGCGGGCGGTGCAGCGCGCCTGCCAGCTGCAGCAGCCTGCAGGCCGAACCATCGACGGGGCCAGCTGCTGGGCTGTTGGGCTGTTGGGTTGTTGGGGTGCTGGGCAGGGTTGAGGGTTCGGGGGGAGAATATGTAATATAGACACTAAAAGGTGTGAGGCGGTTGCTTCAGAAACCAAGACTTCTGAGCTGTGCCTCACACTCTGGGGTAGCAAGATGTCGTCCTGGGAGAGCGCTACGAATCCAGCAGCGCAAGTCGAATTTGAAAACAATGAAACCGTGGGCTTGAAGACCCAGATCAAGTCATCACAAGGAGAAGGAGCATGTCGTTGTTGCAGACGTGCTTGCCGTGCTCAAGGCCAAGAAGACTTACAAGGACGTGGTGTAGAAAGTCAACCCTGGCAATTGGCTGTGTGGATGATCTTCGAGACCTGATTGCTTTTCAGGGGATGAGCCCGCTGATGATCTGAAAGCCATGAGTGGCAAGCTAAAAAGAGCCTGGCAGGCTTGAATAAATGCTGCGTATTGTCATGGAGTTGTGAGTGTTCCGACAGTTCATGGGCAAGAGGTGTGTGTGTGTTTTAGTTATAGTTTGGGATACAAGGGGAACGCGCGAGTATGGAAACACGTATCGTGCTATGAGCACAAAAAAAGAACAGCGATTGAGCTGGGGTGAGCTCGGGGCAGCCATGTGCATGCTGGGCCATGTAGCGTTGCCCCCAATGGCCCTGAAATCATCCAGGCCTGCTTTGCATTTGTAACATCTCCAGCCAACTTCTACCCATCCAGAAAAACGAAATGTGCTCTTGTAGCAAGCCCAGCCAGCGCTAATTTCAACCTATTATGCCTTCAAGCTGAAAGTTCTCCCTGCTTTTTGCTGCCTCCACCTGCCTGTAAGGCTCTCCCCTCAGCGCCCAGCAAGGATGGCATTTTAGGTGCCTGCTGTTCTTGTGAGAAAGTATTTCTTGTACAAAGCGGTTTTTGGAACTCGTAGGCGTTGCTGGCCTTGTGCCAAGTAAGGCAAATTGAAAGAGAAAACTTCCAAGGACTCTCTTTTTATCATGTGTGGTGGCCACTTCATCCACCCATAGGCCGATAGGAATAATGCCTTCCGGGTCTATCTGTACCTGCTCTGCAACTTGCTTCATGTGGTTCTGCAGCTCTGGCCTCAAACCAGAGCGATCAAACCTGCACTTGACTGGAACATGTTCCATGTGGAGCGCCCAGCATGTGCAAAGTCCCTTGAATGGCCTGCTTCTTCAAAGGGCCCAGCTTGGTGGAAAATAGAGGTGGCCGCTTGGATCCTTTCTTCAATTTCCTCAGCATGTCTCTGTGGCAGCGAGAAGAACCCTTCACACCTGCAAGAGGCTTCAAGTGCGAGGCATCTGACTGCAAAGCATCCTCACAAATGAGCCTTGCCCTCTGTGTTGGCACTTCTCCGCTGAGAAAAAGGTCAGCTACATTCTGCTTGGGCCTCTTTTCTGCTGGCATAGCTCCACGCCTGTCATAAAAAGATAAAAAGGGTTCTTGTTGAACATTGCAATAGTTTGTGAGCCACCTGCAGAAGCACACACGCATTTGTGATGCTAGCATGCCCATGCCTCAGCAGCGCAGGGTGACTCTTGCGCATGCCAACACAGACGCACTACAGCGCTGGAGTCTGCCATTTTGGATTCAGGCTGCATTGGGCCGGCCTGGCTGCAGCCACACGGCTTCGATGTTTTGATCAGCATGTTTTCTTTTGTTTTGTTTTGTTTCTTGCTTTGCCATTAGCGTGAGTGCTGAGGACTATCTTGGCAACTGCATGCACCTCATCCTGCAACAATGGAATGGTAATGATCATTAATGGCTAGGGAAACTTCTTGAACAATTTCATGTTTTTTGTGTAATGGCACCCCTTCCAAGTTGAGTAACCTGACCATGACTGGGGAAGCGAGGTACCTAGTCCCTTGGTGTCACCAGGCCTGTTTGCACTTATTGAACCAAGCTGACATGGAGCAAACACATGCACATTTGCTGCGTTGTATTTGAATGACATGTCTTCGCACCTGTCTATAGAATCATTTGATGGCCAGAAGTTTCATGCCAGTGGAACGAAACTCCTTAGGCTGTACCTGGCCCTTGAAGAAATGGTAGGCGTTCATGCTTGCACTTGAAAATGAAAACCAAAACATCCTTTGTTTGTCCACTTTCTGGACAACTCTTTGTCCGGCCCTTCAAAGAGCTTCTTACAAAGGTGGAAGCATGTTTGAACAAGTGTGCTGCTCAAAATCAGCTCCCGATTCTTTGATGCATCGAAGACCAGTCACTATGATGAGGCAAGGAAAAGAAGTGTTCCATCTTATTGCAATGCATCATTTTTCTGAGACAAACACGTTAAACCACATCGCTTAAATGTTTAAATAAGATGTAATTTGCAATCAAATCCGGCCTCATTTAACAGCTATAGTTCTTGAATCATTCGGCCTTAATTAAGCACTCTTGAGCTCACATTGAAGCACGTGTAAACCCATCACCGTGACAGACACACAGACAGACAGACACAGGCATTAAAAACAAAGAGACACGCCAAAGCACAAAGAAGACACAAACAGAAAGAGACACAAAGGCAGCAACACACGCACAAGTGCACGAAGATCCTGGACGCCGACTCCAAAACAATAATACACCGATGCACCCCTAATAATCTCCGCTGGCGACCTACTTCAAGCCGAAAGAAGCTCAAAGGCATGGAGCGCGCTCCTTAAAATAAGGAAGCATCCAGACAACAGCAGGTTCCAAAGAGAAACCTCTAACTAAAAAACAAACAAACAAAAACAAAAAACAGCTTTCGGAAATGTTCGCTGTGGCCAGGTCTCAACCTGAGACAGGCCTAGCGCGCTGGACTGAAACAGCGGTCTCCATATCCACAAAGTCCTCTCATGCATAAGCATGTGTGCGCTATCCGCCTCACATGATTACAATTCACATGTTGGTTGTGCCAACTCAAGGGGTGTTGCAAGCCTCTGACTCGGCTTTTCCACTCCCAGTCGGTTTCGAGAATGTACGCGATAGTCTCCCCTGAGCTGTTTCCCCCTCAGGCTTCACATACGCTCTTCCCTCTGCAAGCTCCACCAGAGTGGCTTATACATATCACAAATACGTGTATAAATATATATATATATATTCATACCATTTATACAAATAAATAACAATGTATACATATAGGTTTGTCTTACATTCAAAGAACACCCTACATGGTGGACACCCAAGTGGTGTCCTTTCAACACCAACTTAAAGGAGGTCCCCCCAAACAAAGGACATATACTCTTGCAAAGGTTCACATAGGGCCTCACCATTCCCTCCTACAACCAAGAAACTGTTTATGTTGAAACATATATATGCATGTATATTGATATATAAATATATGCTACCCCCCTACCCAGGTTTGGGCTTGGTTCAGATGTGCTTTGACCGCGGAAGCAGGCAGGAAGAACAGCTCAGATTTGCACACTGGGAGACCAGAGGAAGGAGGTTTGCCTCATTGAAGAAAGACGCCTTGGACGTGACCCATGCCCTTTTTCAATGCCTCTTCCACACACAATTCAATTCACATATCTTCCCACACAAACCATGCCTTCTTTCAAAGACTCTTCCACAGAAAATTCACATCCTCTCACCCAACATGTCTTTTGACATGTCTTCTTTCAATGAAACAAAGGCAGCATATGTGAAAGAGTTGCCAAGGAAAGTGAACCCTGTGTAGAATAAAGCCAGGCTATGGCTGGGACAGTTTGTTACATAAATGGTGGTTTTACATGATGTTTACTGTCTTTTGCTGTACTTTTTTTATGATCACAGTAACCCTGACTCTTCCACAAAGACTCACATATCATCTCACACAAAACATGTCTTTTTCAATAATTCTTCTCTACAGAAAATTCACATATCCTCTCACCCAGAACATGTCTTCTTTCACAAAGGTTCACATATCCTCTTACCAAAACATGCCTTTTTCAAAGGCTCTTCCACAGAAAATTCACATATCTTCCCACACAAACCCCTTCTTTCAAAGACCCTTCCACAGAATATTCACATATCATCTCACACAAAGCATGTCTTTTAAATAACTCTTCTCTACAGAAAATTCATTCACCCTCTCACCCAAAACATGTCTTTTTACACGCCTTCGATCACAAAGGTGCACATATCCTCTCACCAAAACATGCCTTTTTTCAAAGGCTCTCCCACAGAAATCTCACATATCTTCCCACACAAACCATGCCTTCTTTCAAAGACTCTTCCACAGAAAATACACACATCGGGGGGGTACATGTCTTTTTACATGTCTTCTTTCAATGAAACAAAGTCAGCATATGTGAAAGAGTTGCCAAGGAAAGGGAATCCTGTGTAGAATAAAGCCAGGCTATTGCTGGGACAGTTTTGTTACATGAATGGTGGTTTTACATGATGTTTACTGTCTTTTGCTGTACTTTTTTTATGAATCACTGTAACCCTGACTCTTCCACAAAGACTCACATATCATCTCACACAAAACATGTCTTTTTCAATAACTCTTTTCTACAGAAAATTCACATATCCTCTCCCCCAGAACATGCCTTCGTTCACAAAGGTTCACATATCCTCTCATGCTCCGCAAATGTTGCGCAACATTTGGAATTTGTTGCGCAACATTTCCCTGGACCAAAAAAAAAATCCCAGCCATGGTGGGGGCTAGGATTGTTTTTTTGCTTTTTTTGGTCCACAAAATGGCCTTGCAGAAAATGCATGAGTTCAATCAAAATACACTGTAAATATCAATGGGTTTGATACATGATGCAACAACACCTGGGTACTGGGGGGGGGGGGGTACCAAATATATATATATATATATACTCACAGTCCAAAAGGACCTGAAAAACACGTGTCATCCTTTTGCGCTCGCTAAACAGAGACCAGCACAGGAAAACCCCAAGGAGAAAAGGTCAACTTTGGGCAACTGCGTGTGCAACGGAGTCACAAAACACCTTCCCTCTTGGATGTTTCACTGGTAATTGCATACACATAGTATATATATATATATACGTACACACATTCGTATATGTTTGACTGAAGTGTATACTAGTATATCATACCGGCTCATGCTGCTGGTTGCCTACTAATGTATATATGTCTTAATTCATATACTCTCACGTAAGTCACCCGGCGATGGTGCGTGACTTGCGAACAAAACCACGCCGACTTCCCCACCAGCTGCACGGCCGCTGCGGCCAATGGCCGTGGGAAGCGCACAGTGGCCATAACCCGACCCTCCAGCCTCGGGCCGGCAAACGAGACTTAAATACCAAAGTATGAGAGAGAGAGAGAGAAAAAATAAGCAAGAAGGCAAACAAACAGACAGACAAACAAACAAACGAAAAAACGAAACAAAGAAACGAAGAACCAAACAAACAAACAAACAAACAAACAAACAAACAAACAAACAAACAAACAAACAAACGGTCAATCCACGAAACAAAGAAATCAAACAACGTTCGGTCAATCAAGAGGTCAAGCAATGAAGCAAACCGCAAAGCAAAGAAACAACACGACAAAGCATAACCAAACAACTCAGGGCCCAGAAGAGCGTAAACAAAGAGGCAGAGCGACAGAGAGACAGTGAAACAGCCAGACAAACAGACAGACGCAAACAGACACAGAGAAAGACACAGCAACAAAGAGACACAGAGAAGCACACATACAGAGACACAAAGACACAAACAAACAGAAAGGCCCACGCAAAGAGTTTCCGCAACAAAAAGAACGCAACAACAACAAGCAGCAAATCCAGATGACAATCTGTGGAAGCGGGTTTTGGGCTAAAGCACTTCGCATACTTCATTTCTTTAAAAAAGGGCTCGGGACAAAATTGCTTGATAGCCCAGGAGGACAAGGGAAACTTGGCTGGCACGCCTGGCTGTTGTGAAAAGAATGGGCGCCCTCCTTTTGCCAAGTCCGCCCGAAACTAACAATCGATTCTTTCAAAAGATGTTGTCAATTTTCATATATAAGAAACAGGTCAGGGCAAATCTGACACCAAGGCTAAGGACGACATCGAGCGATGATCTATGGTGAAATAGCTTAGAGGGAGGCTTGGGGGGGGGGGGCGGGGTAATATTCATCAACAACACCTCCCAATCCTTGGTATGGTATGGTGGCAAAGAAAAACATGTTTGCAGCCCCCGCTAAAAGCATGAGAACTAATTGCTGAGGACTAAACATAAAAACAAGCAACACAAATGAGGGCTAGCAATTGAAAAAATCACAACTACCCTCCCACAGTTGATCTGGAACCTGATGTTCGGGGCTCCCTTTAAACGGAACACGGTCCAAACCAGGACACCCCCCAAACGTCAGGTTCCAAGTGCAAAGGGTGGGAGTGTGCCTATAGTAGGTAGCCAAGGGAAGCACCTTGAAATGCTAAAATTGGACATGTATCGCTAACTGGGATTGACTGGGCTAGGGAAACCACCCATTCGGCTAGGTCCAGTAGAGAGCTTAGAATAAGTTGGTACCCGATCCTTTTTTTTCCGCAGTCTATTTTAGTAGGGGAACCGAATCTCCCCCAAAGAAAAAAAAAAAGGGCAGAGAAGGGCACGATCCTGGGGTACCTTGCACCAAGCGAGTTCCGTGGCCCCGGCACCGCGGTAAGCTGCCCGAAGGCGCAGTCCGTTGCAACCCCCACCACACCGCCCGCTGCACCTGGCGCGAGCCGCAAGTAGACAAAAACGGCACGGGGAAGGCGGGAGTCGCTCCTATAGGGAAACCGAGTGTGAAGCTGGGGAGATAGGGAATGAGAATATCCCTCCGCTTGTGGCTTCCTTTTGGCAAGATCGCTGTGACTTAGAAGCTATTTGCAGGCGGGATAGGAAAACTGACAAAGAGGAGGTGGCAAAAGGAAGGAGCGGGAAGCGCTCAAAGTATCTGGAAACAAAACGGTTATCCGTTTTGGTTTGCCATGGTGGCTAAATCCAGGATACCAGCACAGAGGCAGGAAATCCATCATCAAACCTCAGGGAGAAACACAATCCTGCTCCAGTGGCAAGTAGAATCACTGAGATTGAGTGGAAGTGTGACAACAGTAAACCTGTACCTCCCTTTAGCTAATTAACAACTTGTTTGTAAGTGGGCACAAGATGCGATTCCATGCGATTCCAGCCCAAGTGGCAACAAATTGTAGTTTCGGCTTTTCCGAGAAATGGCAATGCCAAAAGGCTTGCTTGGCGCTGAGTCCTCCGGTCACTGACTTGGGGCTGTGAGCAAAAACACTACCCAAAGTCGGTTGGGGGTGAAACGTACAACACGGAACCTGCTTGGCTCGCTCGCAGGACCATGCTCTGTGGAACATGGACAGTGCCAGGCCGAGGGAAGCAAAATGGCCAGGGCCGGAAAATAAAAGGAAGAAAAACAAACTGCTCTATCTACTTATTCTCGACAGAAAGGAAACACATTTTAGGTCCCTTCCGCTTCTGTATTGGCAAAGTGAAACCAGAGGAAACCAACCTGTTTTCGGCGGGGGTGGTTTTGATGATGACTGAACGGCTCAGAGTGGCCCTGTACATGAAAACAGGCTGATTGCTTCAGTTCCTTTTGTAAGTATCAAGTCATCCATTCCCCTATGGTCTCCTCTCGTGCCGAAAACCGAAAAAGGCCGCCTGCTTTTGGGGCGCCTCGACCAAACACGACACGAGGCGCACCATGAGCCTTCCTCGTGGCCCACCATGAGCGCCACCGCGCCGCCCATGGATGCCCCCACCAGGGCCACCTGGAAGCGCCGAACACCCAGGCGAGCTTCCGGCCGAAAAAAACCAGCAGCGCATGTTGCGGTTGCTTCTCTACCACTTGTTTGCGCAACAAATCATCAAGACATGGAAACGCACATCTCATGAAAAGGAGACTGCCCAAGAGCGCCAGGAAAGCAGAGGCTCGCTGTGTGTTGAACCCTATGTTTGGGGCCAGTTTTGCAAGCGAGTTGGATGCCAGTCTGGAGGTTCTGTGTCCTGTGTGTAAATGGACCAGGTCCAATCCGTTGTTCGCATGCCTGTTCCCTCAAACCCACCAGTTGGAACCCGACAGGCCTGTCACAAACTCGGGGCCTCGGTAATTACAGGCACTTCCAATGAGAAAATCCATAGCTGTCTGCGGCCACAAATGCATGGAAATCAGCGAGGATCAAACAGCCCTTCCAAAGACACGCTGTCGGAGACAGAACGAATCTGGGCGGCTCACGGTCAGTCACCAACCCGCAACAACCACCGTCCTTAGAGTGGCAATTGTTCCTGAAAGTGTTTCTTTGCGTGAATCAGAAAGGACCCAACTGTACGTGGGCTAAGAGGCAATCATGTCTATCCTCAATTACGCCAAGCAAGAGACCCCTCCAGCCCTCCCAAACGTTCACGCACCTGCTTTGAGACCCGGGTCAAAATTAAACCACCAGGGGACCGCAGGTTTTAGTCCTTGGTTCCATTTACCAGGGTTCCATTTTGGGGTTACCCTATTTTTGACCCACAGCCATTCCCTACCTACCAACAAGACGTAAACGGGGGCGGCCTTGGCGTCCTCCGGCGCTCTGCCCTTGGCGGCCAGGATGGCGCTCCGGCAGTCCCGCTGCTCCAAGAAGCCCACTGACTGCTGGGTCTGGCGCCAGTCTGCCCCCCCCCCAGGCCCCAGGCAAGCCACGGTGAGAGCATTGGGTTTAAATCAGCTCAATGCTGCTTTGGACCAAGTCACCAACTTACTTGGTCGAACACCAGAGTGCCAGCAACGGAAAACGGGGAAAGGGTACGGTGGCAACCAAGTTGAAACGACATTTTGTGCCACGGTCAAAATTCAGTGCTGGCCTCTATGGACATGGCTAAAGCAGATAGCCCCCTGGCTTTTGCGCGAAAATTATGTCAATGTACGGGATGGATGAAACCCTAATCTACTCGTGCGAAGTGGATTTTGCCCATCCACAATAACACCAAGGTACATCAGCGGCTTTCGCTGCTGCAAGCAATCGAAAGTTTTGAGCGCAGGTCCACGTGAGAAGGAGATGCTGTGGATTCCTGGAGTCAAACATCAACAAGTCACAGACTATTGCAGATGCCCTCGTTTCAACGATCTTGAAAGCTCCAAACAAGAAATGTGTCAAGAGAGGCTGACATGAACATCATTGTTTTGTATTTTCATTTTTTTAATAAGGTCCGTTCGCTCAACATGCGGGCTGTACGACTCAGTAGTGTTCCTTTTGTTTTCCTGATCCTGAATGGTGCCTTGTGGCAAGCAATTCCTAAGGGGAAACATGAAACGGCATCATGGGAAGAGCAAAAAACAACAAAAGCATGGGACATGTGCAGGAATAGCATTGGAGTGGATAGGTGGAGGGGCCAAAAACCTAAAACACCATGAAACAACCAATGATTCTACCAGTAAATATGAGAGTTGGTTGAGCCCTCCCAATGGCATCCGAACCGCTCTTTGGCTTCATGGCCTCATTTCAGAAGCGAGCCAAGATTCCGGTTGCGGAAGGATACCCCAAGCGCGTCGACCTGCCCCAACATGGCGAGCCTTGGTGTCGGCGAAGGAGCGGAAGTCGAACATGAAGACGGAGTAGCGGCGGTCCCACAAGCCCCGTGCCACCCCGAGCAAGTTGGACTTGCCTCAGGCGGAATTTCTGGGAACTGCCTTCAACGTGACCTGCTGGGAACTGCCTTCACGAAACGGACAACAACCATTTTGGGCTGGGAATTCCGCATTTGGAGACGAAGCCACACATGATGAGACCATGTCAAACAAGCCATGCCAATCGCTGGTGACTCTTGTTGCTTGCCTCGCAACACTAAGCCTCCAAACGGGCCCATTTGGACACGGTGATATTGGTGGACAAAGGCTGACCGAGGTGGATTTGCCCCTGTCTCACCGATTGCCAAAAAGCGACCAAATGGATAGGATGCATTTTGGAGAGGTGGGCCTGTCTCTAGCCAGAAAAGGTAATGAGCAGAACATGAGCAAAACATTCACACGAACACCTCCGTCTGAATCTGCGTTGATCTGCTTTCTGCCTAGGATGTTCATTGACCTTCTGAGTTTCCCGGCTGCTGGCCAAGTAGCTGCATCTTTTACAAGAATCTGCAAGCCCAGCATGAAAGGGAAGCCGTTGACCACGGCACTTTTGCATACATGTTTGCATATCCTATACAAAAAGAGTTCACACGCACACCAGTGGATCCGGGTCCGTTGTAAACTCTGAAAAGAGTGATTGGAACTAAAGTTCCTTTGTCTTTTTGTTTTGGACCGTGGCTAAGTGTTAAAGCTTCAGAGTTGGATGAGCAAGTCAATTGTGAACGGAACAACTGTCAACAGCAATTCACAGAAGCCCAGGTGCTGTTGTTGTAGGGATGGCAGCAAACCACCACTCGTCGACTTGCCCGACCACCAGAGCTCTGCGGGATGAACCACCCCGTCAGGGAGATGCCGTCCTGTCCGTGCTCAGGCTCAAGGCACCTTATCATTCCCTGTGCCTCGCTCAAGAGCCTTGCATGCCATGATCATGGTTCCCTTAGTAGGAAACCTTACCATGTTTGCCTAAAACCCCGTATATGGGGTTGATGACCATTCCTGCCAAACGCGGTCCAAACTGGGCGGCCTCTTATGGACAACAAAAAGATACAGTTCCATTTGTCCGGAGGCTGCAACAGAGTCACAATGCACTGCAGCTCTGGGTCTTCAAAAGTGAAAAAACAAAATCTGAAGCCTCTGGCCAGGCCTTCGGTGCCATCAGGCTGGAGGTGATAACTGAGCAGGGTTGGTTTTTGTTGTATCGGCCCTATACACTGGCAACCATGCTTACAAGCCTCCCCGGGTGTGTAAAACCCTGGAGAGGTGCCTGTGCGAGCCTTCGCCGAAACGAGTGCCCCTGCGGAGTACCGACGCAGACCTCTTTTGGGCGCTACTCTTCAAGCTTGCAACAGGCAAACATGCCATGCGAACCTGCCCACGCAGGAATTCCTTGAACAGCCTACGCGGACCCGATCGTTTCTTGTCCAACCAGAATTGCCTTCTGCAGCATAAAGAGAGTCCCGAACAATAAGCGAATACATAGCAAAACACAACTCTGCTCAACTGTGAATAGCGCAAACGGATAAAACAGCACATGCACCTGGTCCGTGCGTGTATTGTATCTGGTCAAGCCAAAGCATCCCTCAAAGCATTGCAGGCCAAAAAAACGGCACTTTGTTGAGTTGCGGTAGGGGCTTACATGTGAGCCATGCAGGCGGAATTTCGCAAATTACATAGGGGGAGTTTCATGAATGCAAAACAAAGGGAGTGCTCAGTTGCCCATCTGCAGCAGTGAAAAAATGCAAACCTCTTGCTGGTGCCTCTTCTGGGAACATGTCAAAGTTGTGCCAAAAGTAGGGCATGCTTTTGTGAAGCGATCCAACCAAAACGGATCCAACGGGTCGTCCTGTTGACAGTCACTAGTGGGAAGCACTGGGGCATGCGAAAAAGAGTTCTTTCTCGCCCACCCAGGAACAGGGAACTCTGGTTTTGGATGCCTGGCTTGGAAGGGCATACAAAAACGCAACACGAACCACCAGACAACACAGAAAACACGGCACGGTCCTTTTAACACCCGGTTTGGGACATGTTTGGGACAAGGCTGGAATACCTCAAAGAGGTTATTCTTCAACAAGGCACCTGACAACTGGAAGGGTGTTTCCCATTCGCCCATTCCACCCTCGCCTCAGTGAAGAATTGCACCTCCTCGTATGGCATGTTGAGATCCTCTGGCGTGAGCACGAACTCATCAGTGTAGCCTTGGCTCGGGACAATCCATAGAGTCGTCCGCTTTGCACAAGGGAAGCGGCTGGAAGTGGTCACAAAGGGGTCCATATGCGCCACGGTCAAAGTATGCGGGAAACCAAACTGTGCATGAACAACAGCACAAGCAAGCAGCGAAACAGCACCAAGGCGACCTATGCCCACCCCCCTCACATGACAGGCAGGAATGCGCCAATCAACCTGGAGGGGACGCACCCCGGGGACCGGGTCCTAAGGGCGCTAGCTGGCTGCAATCACAAGCACAGAGCACCGCTGTCGCCAACAGCACCACAAGCCAAATAACACCACCACCAAATGCTAACGGTTGAAGTGCGGGTTGTGCGGTACGATCGAACTTGTTCTACTCATGATCATGGGATAATGATGTTTGTACTGGTTAAGTCTCTTGTGATGAACATGCTTTACAACAACCTCCTTATATTCTGGCACCAGAAGGGCAAAAGCCAAAACTGACACGTTTGATTCTGGACCATATTCAGTGAACCTTGAAACGCATACAACAACCATTTAAAGATCACACACACACACACCCTTCCCCGGAATCGCCACATTGGTTCCCGGTTGTCCGGGGATGCCCATGGTCCATTTCGGAAGTGTACGACATGCGAGCCATGGCCAAAACTCCGACTGGTCATGTTCATGGCTCCCTGATGGTTTTGCCAAATTCCGCAAGGGTTGATTCCCGATCATCCCTAACCCAAGTGAAAGGGAGTTTTGAGCATGGTGTGCCATCCCAAAAAGATTCGAGGTGACAGCTTCGACCCTTGAAGCTGAGGACCATCACCCCGCACAGAGCACAGTTCAAGCCAAGGTTTCCTGGCAAGTAAACCTTTCTGGGTCCAACAGCTTGCTTCACCGAAGACCATGTATGTGTTTGCAGGCTAGAATCGCAAACCCAGTCTCGCTTCTCCAAAACCTAAACATGAAGGGCTCACGAATCAGTATGGTTTGCCAACTGAATATAGTCGAAATCAACCAAACTTTCCATGTTCACCTCATGCCAGATCGGAAAACAAAACCAAGGACTAGTTTCAGTCTGGCCGCCGAAGGCTTGCTCGTCACAAGAACCCAAACCAAAGCTTGACCTTTGGGGCTGTCTTGACGTCCGTTTGCTTGAGCCACCGGAAAAATGTGCTTTGACCAGTGACCGTATCTCAAACATGCCTTTACAACGAAAAGTGAACATGTATGATCCAAACTGACCATGGTTTGCTTTGGGTTTCCATAAAACACCATCCAAAAGGGGCTGATCCCCGCTTCCAGTTTTAGCAATCTATCAGTGTCAAGTAAGGCGCTTGGACAAACGGGAAAAGTTACGCATCCCTGCTGACGATCTTTTGGACAAATTAAAACTTGTTGGCTTTGTCGTAGCCCCAGAAAGCATTTAAACCAATTCTCCGATCTTCAACCCAACCCCAATTGGATCCATGAAGCATATTCTATTTCAATATAAACCCATCTGGGTATGTCTCAAAATGAGGCGAACCCAAAGATTGTGGTTTTCCTTGTGGTTCCCCTTTAAGCCAATCTGACGAGAGTGCCTACGAAAACCACACCCATCTGAGTCAGTAGACTCAGCCCCTGCCCCAAAATTTCGCCCGAGCAGCCCCTGCGCCGGCTGCCGTGCACTGCAGCCACCACGTAACTGAGAGAGCCGGGGCTCAGTGGCAAGTGACCCGAACGGGAGAACAATATTTGGATGGCTCCAGGCAAACATCTTTGGGCTGAAAAGGGTGCATTTTCTTTTTGAGTTCCAGCTGACTCTTCAGCATACTCGATGCGTGCCCTACCTTGCTGGCACTGTTGCCGGCTCCCGTTGGTTGACAAGCGCTTTTCGTTGGGAACCAAAAGGCAAAAAAATGGAAGAGTGACATTAGCTGACCCATTGACCCTTTAATTTGTATCGCAGGCGAAGCCCCACGCAGGAAGATTGGCCCAACAAGGCTGAGAACTTGTTGTTTGCCACAAAACAACGTTTTTGCAACAAGTACTAAGTCCAGGAAACACGGAATTGAGAGGCCCCCGACAATTACCCGGGGGCACCAGCTGAAAAATGGGTGTTCGAAGCTCTTTACTTTGAACAATGAAGGGCCCATGGTGACACATTAAACGTTGATTCCGTCCTTCCGTTCCATATTGACTCCAACATAAAATCAAACTATTTGCTGAGAAGGCCACCGCTGTGCTTCCAGCTGCCACCATAGAAGGTAGTCAAACAAAAATGGGGAAACGCACATGTTCCTCCTGATCGAAGTAAGCGCGCGGAGCTGCGCCTTGGAAAGTGGGCAACTGTCGGATTCCGATCCCAAAACGATGTTTATATGGACAGACTATGCATAAGCATGGGTATGGGTCAAAATTGAATCACCAGGAATTGGACCGCCTACAGCGGCAAGTGGAATGACATGCTCACCTCTCGAGTGCACTTGCCAAAAAGCGTCTAAACTTGTTGTTTTCTACTAAAATGGTTTTCCCGAAAAGTTTGAAGTCCAAAAAACCCGACTGCAACACCCAAACAGTTTGAAGTCCAAGAACTCCAGGAGTGAGCAGGGGTCTGCCCCTTCCGTTGCCGGGTCCCGGCACCCGGCCACACCCAGCATCACGCCGCCGCAGGCGGCGGCGCCAAGCGCCGCCCCATGGCCCAAGTCGGCTGCACGCAGGTGGGGCAGTGCCGGGCGGCGCCTCCAGCGAAGGGGCAGGGAGGGGGGGGCGGGGTGGGGGGCGAGGGTTGTGGTGGGGTGGGGGTGGTTCAGGGGGGGGGCAGGTTGTGGTGGGGTTGGGGTGGGGTTGGGGTGGGGTTGTGGAGGGTCAAGCGGTTTTCAAAACAACTATGGTTTAGGCGCGGGGGGCGGGGGTTGTAGTGGGGTGGGGAGTAGGCAGGTGCGGGTGCGGGTCAAGCTGTTGTTCACAACATGCTTCAACCATGGTTTAGGCAACCTCCTAGGGGCTGGTTGTTTAAACACATGTTTGCCCCACTACGATGTGTCGCGATCCTGTCCACGGTGCACCATTCGCAGTGGCTGGAGAAAAGTGCATGCTCAACAACGAACTGGCACGAGATTCAGCTGGGCAACTGGGGATCGCTGAGGAAAGGATGGCACCCTTGCAACTGGTGGAACTGGAGGATAAAGGCTGAATGCTTTCTATTGCCCGGTTAACAACGAGTGCATGGCTTGGAATGCTTCGGATGCACCACTTGACCGCGCCATCATCCTTCTCCATGGTGAACGACTGGTCTTTTCCAGATTTCTTTTGTATCACGTTGCCGTTTGGTGGTCCTTTGTTAAAGTTAGACGTTTAGTGTCATTTGGTATGCATCCCTCTAATCGCAACACGCCCCTAAGGGTATAGCTGGGAACACCAAACAGCCAAGTTTAGTAGTCAGGGTTGGACAACATGTGCTATTTCTGTTTGGCCCCGTCCTAAAGAGACCCATCCGCTTCTGTGTGTCCGGGCAGGTCCTTTGCTCATTTGCCTAAGGAAGCCACAGCAAGAGATTACCACCGTGTGTTGCCATGACTCCAAACGGACCAACCAGACCAACAGGTCAGGGCGACGAGCAAAAACGTTTGACCTCGTTGTAAAAGGAAAAGGAGGGTTCTTCACAAGGCAGGGGCGTCAGGCTGTTCCCCCATTCCCGATCTTGACCAACAAGAATGCCACTGGAGTGTGAAAGTGTGAAGAACAAGTTCTTTGGTTTGAAGGCGGGGACCTAACTTGCAGGCTCATTCATGATAAGTAGGGAGCTTCATCAGAGCTAACTTCCAGCCCGGCACCCGAACATTGGCCTTGAACCTGTCCGAAGGCTCTTTCGGCCCCATCTTGACCTTATTTCGCCCTATTGGCGAACTAAGGCCCATTGCCCGGTGGAATCTATGAAGCTCAGACTCTCTCGGGGTGGCGTTTTGGTTGGCTACGACGTGTCTGAAGCGCATGGTATTGACATGTATTGACCACATTTGACGACCCCAGTTGCCCAGTCTATGCGGGAAGGAAAGAAGCCTATTTGGGGTTGACCATTTGTAGTGATCCCAAAAATGCATGCCATGAAGAACCAGGTACCACGGGGCTCGGTTCCTTGCCGCCGGGCGGCAGGGCTGGAAGTCGAAGCCGCCGCCACATGACGAGCTCAGGGTATCGCGGTTTGATCGGTTTGGCTGGTTGTTCCGAGAAAAACGTAAAGGAACCGACCCATGTTGGGCCCTAGGGCAGGGGAGGATCATCAGCCTAAAGGTTCGGTTCTCCGGCATGCTGTAGATCCTTTACCTCTATAGCGCAACTGTCATTGACTAGGTGTTTGTTAGAATCCGCTGATATTTGTGTGGGACACAAGCCACTTACTGGCTGCCGTGCTCTTTTGGTCATCTTCCTATGGTATCTGACTCGCCTGTGCTGATCTTTGAAGTGATTGTGACCCAGCGCCCTCTCTTTCTTTCGGGTGATTCGATGCGCCGCCACATTCTGATTAATCATCAGGGCCATCCGAAGTGACACCGTTCGAGCCGCACGGAATGATTGGCTTGCCCCAGATGTTTGACCCCAAATTCGGTGGGGATGATCTGTGACATCGGAGCATCTGGAGCCCGAGCTTCAGCCGGCATCCCTGGGCAACCCGTTCCCTTGGGGGAAAGTGCCCGGGATGACGAAACCAACGTTGGGGAATTGTGCCATCTACTGTCACCCAAATCCAGGTCCCCCTGCAAACATTGGCATCAAATGCTCTTAAAGGAAAATGGAAATTTGGGCACCCATTTTGGTCAATGTGCTAAATGTCTTGCTGTGAAGGGTCACCGAAGTTGTGTGCCCAAATGCTGCAAGCACCCAAGCAACATCTTCTCAGGACTCCAGTGTGTCAAAGGGATATGGGCCATATATGGGTTGATCTCCTATCGCGTGATCAAATAATCTTGGAAGGTTTACCTTGGAAGGCATTGGAAGGTCAACATTGTTTGCCAGGGGTTGACACCAGCGCTCATCCGCAGGTTTTTGTGGTGTTTGCTTTGGTGGAAACCTAGTCTTGGATGGCATGTGATGTATCGGCTTCTGGACAGCCGGCAAAGGCATCCCTTACAACGTTAACCCCACAAGTTGCAAGTTTGATCCATCGCCTCTGATGAAAAACTACAAGGCTAAGGAGGCAAAGTAAAGACTGCTCTACATATCCAGGATACATCTTCAGATGGGTGCTTCGTTGAAGTTGCAGGCCCACTACAAATCGAAAGATTCATTTAGCTTCCCTCACAAAACACAGGGAGAAACGGTTCCACTTTGAGGGCACTCCTGCTTGCTTCTCGCACTGCATTGCGCAGGTCTTGACATGTCGTAACCTGGACCTTCAAACTCCGGGAAATTTCTGGATGTTTTAGGAGACCCCTACGATTTACCGAATTCCAGTGGTTTAGCTACAATTTGGGCAAAAACACATACGAATTGCGTCGTTTCCAGTCGCATGTTGGCCATACAAAGTAAATACACCTCGCAGCACTTGCCAACGTGCCAGTGAACACCATGGGATGCCTTGGTCATCAAAACTACGACTTTTTCTGATTTGCGGGAGTTTGCGGGTTTTTGCGGGAGATTTGCGGAAATTTGCCGGCGTTTTGAGGTCAAAATGGGTACGTTTTTTTCTGCACCGCACAACTTTGGACCGCCGTTGCATGTGTTGACAAACTTGCGGGCTGCATTGAGCCTGAAAAGCTTCCTTTAATCTGTCAAAGGCCGCGAGCAGTGCAATAGTGTGGTTTTTAGGAGTTTTAGGAGTTTCAGGTTTTTGCGGCAAAAAGTGCTACGATTTCCCGAATATCCAGTCAAAGGCGGAAACTACGTTTTTTTTTCAGGAGGACGAAGGTCCAGGAAGATTACCTCCTTTACTCCGCTGTAAATTCACATGGAATCCGAAAGGGGTTTCCCAAAAGAAGCTTCAAATCCTCGGCTTTGGGGCTTCCATGACAATCTGCATCAGAGTAAGTCGCCATGTAAAGAGGGTCATGTTGCCCATTCCGGGCATGGCACTGGGAACGTAGGCCGTTGGGTTCTTGAGCAAAGGGAGGCGGACATCTCTTCCCTCTGCGCAGTACTCTCGCTTCAACTTTCTGTGGACTGACAGGATTCCGTTCATCTCCCCGTTGCGTATCATGCCACCCGAATGGTCAATCGACTTTGGCCCAACAGGTGCTGTTTGAATCACTGGACACCAAAATGCACAGTAGAGACCCCCAGTCCGAACTGCTGCCAGCATTGGATGGCCAACCAGCGCTGTTGCTGACCGGGGTTAAAAGAAAACACCATTTCAACCATTTCAACTCACCTTTTTAACCCTATGACACAAAGAAGAGACACCATTTCGACTCGCCTTTGGGCGCAACCCTTCTGATGTCAGAAAGCGAAGGCTGCTCTGCTCTTCTTTTCCTGGGCTTCTTGGAGGTCGTTTCGCCCTCCGAGTCGTCCTGAGCCGAAGGGTAGCAATGCAGTTGCTGCAGAAGTGGATGGCACTGGATGAGTACAGACCGAAGCCAGCGCCTGGTTTCAAATTATAGCCGAAAAGAACACCTAGGCACCTTGTTACTCTCATCTTAGAACTCGGGCAGATGCACTGTACAACCAGTCCCCCGAATGGTGGAATATGATCCGGAAGCTGTTTTGCTTGCACCAACACACAGTCGGAAAGGGTGGAATCCGTTGAGCAACTGGAAGATGTGTTCAAGGTTTTACCCACAACTCGACATTCGCCGAGCAAATTGTAGTAAGAATTGAAACAAGCCTTGCTCACCACCAACTGCCACCCTAATCAAACATGTTCAAACAGGAGGCAAACGTCAACTCAGTGGCGATACGATGGTGCGATCCGGTTGCTGCTGGCGGGGTCTTCAGCAAAACGCTGAGGGCGACACGAGCGCAAAAAGAGCTCGACCGAGATTATTCAAATGCCGTTGAAGGGATCCTCAAAAAGTCCTCAATTGGCCAAGTCCCGTCTAAGTTATGTGTTGACAAGAAACACATAGGAACCCTCAATGACGGCCAGTTCGACCGGGTTTTAGCAATCCGTCTTTTGGAGGGCTTGCCCTGTGGCGCCGGACCGAGCAATGAGTCGAATTGCCTTGATGGGTTGAATGGAAAGTCTGGGATCAAGTTTTGGCAAAGCCCGGCCGGGACATCTCAGCATCAAGCAAGGTGCTTACGAGTCTGCCGCTGAGACACAATCTTGTCCCAAACAATGAGAAACGGTCAGTATGGTTTGTTCCTGGCGAGTACCCGTGGTTCCTTGTGGCATTTTGATGAGTGACGACAGAAACATTGACCGTTGCTCATGTGAAACTTGAATCCTTCCAATGAGATGAAACTCTGCGCTCCTAGCCCCTGCTTGGGGCAGGAAGAAACAACATAATTAACGAAAATTCATGGCCCAGGCACATGATGATGCATTAACTTGTGCATATCTGACACAACGTTGATTGAAATCATTCCCTTAAGAGAATGGCTCCTGAAAAGGAAAACAAAGAAATGCCCTGCCCTTGAGCTTTGGTCATATGCCGGAGGCTCTTGGGACAAGCAAAAAACCGGTTCAACGCAGCCAACTCAGCGCCAAATTCTGCGCCCTCTCTGCCAAGCTGCGGCATGCAGACGCCAAATCCTGGGATCCGGATGCCATGCGCTGGGAGAAAAAAGCTCCTTCCGTGGCCGATATCTGGGGTGCACGGAACATGCTTGTCAGATTGCTGTCTTTTTGTGTTCAGGTCCCCTGCTAAAAGTGACCAACTTTTAGTGGGTCAAAACCCTAAAAAACCTAAAAAGATAAGGGGATGGCTGGAGCCACCAAAATCATGCCTTCATACCCCAACTGCCAAACAAAACAATCGCCACCTTTCTGGGCAGTGGCGTCCCGACTACTTTTACAAAGTTGCCGGGCTAAGGTGTTGGCTCCCAAACTTTCTCCACCCAAACGGGCCGTATGTCTTCTTCTGCTAGGGTGGAACCTTTAGACCTGTTCTACATGTAAACCTAGAAGAAACCAAACATCTCTAAGGTTCCCGCATTTAAGATTTGCAGACTCACCCAAGTTTGAGCCATGTACTAAGATCTGTCCCAACCCTCAGCATCTGTCCGCACTTGAAGGCAACCAAAATTACCCCATAGTGAATTGGGACAAAACGCTGTTACTGTTGGCCCAAAGAGGTTATCTAACAACAGAGCCTGACAAAGATTACTCCAATAGTCGTGACCAAATTCGGGTTTGAAGTACATCCAGACCCCCTACTTTCCACCACGACCAAGACAGTCTCAGACAAAATTTCCCAGGCAAGGTCAAAGCTGCGTGAGTGCAAAAGGTCCAATGCATCCTCAAGCTGTCATATTTGCCAGGCCGGCTTCCTTTTGGCTTCCTCAGGGAGAACCAAACAAAGGATCCCCCAAATTTAACACCTGGGTACCATACTATGGACCAACTCCATTTCGCACAAGCTGGGATAGATGGACACCCTGCAAAATACCATGTAAATGGGACAAACCACCTACATCCACCCACAAAAGAACACATCCACCCAAAAAGAACAAACACAAATACATCCACCTTAAAACAAACAACTACATCATAATACCTGCACCTAAAGAAACCAACTACATCCACCTAAAACCACACAAATACATTTGTACCTTAAAAACACATACATCCCACCAACTGGATTTTTCCTCCACCCACAACATATGCGGCACACCGCTCAAGCTGAGGGAGGCTCCACTGCCGCAGCTGCTGGGCCATGTTTGGGTGCAGCTTCACCAAGGCCTCCTCCGCCCGAAGGAAGTTGTGGCCTGATCCGGGTCCCAAACAGGAGTCGGTTGCGAAATCTGCTCCCCTGAAAGTGACAAACTTCTAGCGGTTTCATGGAAAACCCGTTAGCTGGCAAAAAGTCGAAGTCCTAACATCCAAGCAACATGCACCTCTGAGGAGGCTGTGTGCCAAACCGCATCCCCGAGATCCCGGTTTTCCTCGTAGATTTCCAGAACATGCCGGTTTGGACTCATAGCTTTTCTGGAAAAAAGGCCGGTTGTCCTCGTGGCTTTCCCGGAAGAAGGCCGGTTTTCCTCGTGGCTTTCCCGAAAAATCATTGAAAGGCAAAAAGGGTTCCCTCAAGTAACACACACGAAGAATTGGAATGGGACTGCGGAGCGAATTAGAAGCAAACTAAGCCTTCAGAGATGAATAAATGTAAGTAAAAAATCAGGGTCCTTTCACTTTGCTGTGCGAACTATACAGGGACAATAACTCGTGCTTGAAAAGTCCGGCAGCGTGCTATGTATCTTTCGTCCGGACCAAAAGAATGAACGAAGATGTTGAAGGGGTCCTGGAAAGGGAAAGTGATGTTTTGTTGGTAGGTGTACTGCAGCACTCGTGCTGGAGAAACACTGCAATCATAACTTGGACTGAAACTGGTACGAAACCATTGAACCGGTATCTCGGACAGTATGTCTGCTCTCCAAGGGATACACTCATGCATGCACCACTATTGGCCTTTGCTCTTTCGAAAGACCTAAAATGACAAATGCCCTGTTAGGCCTTCAAGACCATCGCGAAACATAATAGGCTATCACTGGAAGCAAACATCAAAGTGGAAGGACAACTGAGTTTGAGCCCGAGCCGTGTGCGATGGCCGTGTGTAGCATGCTCCATGTCACCGTTCAACTTGCTGAAATCGGTGAAGCTTGGGACTTGTTCTACTGCACATTGGACTTGGTCTCACGGTGCGAGTTGGATTGAACAAGATGTCTGGATTGCAGCAATGGCTGGACAAATTTGGCTGATTCATTCACAACATTTTCCCTCTACACATCACCTCACTTTATAAGGTCCAAAGACGGTGTTTGAGGCACCCCTGGATTTGCTGAAATAGGGTTTGATAGACGTTGACAGGATTCTTGCGGCTTCAACAACGGGCATGATGATCCTTGGCGGCACAGTTCTCTGAAGTGGTCGTGTACTCAACGACAGGCACACATCAGCCGCACTCAAAGCTCTCAACTAGCACACGCAGGAGATTATGATTGCAGGTGCGCCATGGTCCCATCTAGGTCACAGTCCGCTGACTTCCCTACATGAACCCACAGCTTCCTCCATGCCTATGACCGCGTTTCATGACCTCAGGCGCAGTCAAGGGCCCTGGCTGTTGATGTAGTTCCTGGCAGGCAGGGTTCGGAGAGGGGCCCAAAATGAAAATGAAAGGCCTTGAGATGCCTTGAGCATAAATCATTTGTGTTTATGCCCATTTGTTGTGTCTGTTTTCTTTGAGGGAGCCGGTGGCGAGTGGCGAGGCCCCATCATCATCAGCAAACCATTGTTTCCCCAGAAGGACATTGAAACATTGGGGCCTGTCCCCCCTGCCTTTTTGTCGTTGAAATTTGGGTTGTCGCCCGCCCAAAAGCAGGGCGGAGAGCCAATGGCTTCAGCGGAAACCATTGCGGTCGTGCAGATTGCTCTGCGTTTGCTGTAAGGCCCCAGCGCAGGCCGTAGCCTACGAGCATCATGCGATGCCCGAATAAGTTAACCGGTTTCGCAGTGTATCTTATCTACGCGGGGCGCCATGTGCCCTAAAGAAACACATCTGCTCTTCCCCCAGCGAGTGGTTTCCCTCGAAAAGGTCTGGCTACGTCTAACCCGTCTTTAGGGTTGGGCAAGTTCGAAGGAAACCTTCCCGTAGACAAAACAAAGAAATCGTGCAAGCCATTTGCAACTGGGGGCACCTTGCTTTATGCCCGCCACTCACACACCCAGTCACCCAGCGTCCTGGTGTAAGCTGAAGTCTTTGTCAGCGACACCTTAGGTGAAAGTTTTTGGACCGAAAGTGTTCAAGGGGACCCCGAAAGGAAATCAAACAGTCGTTTGCCTGGACCTTCATTTTGTTACGTATATGTGTCCCTTGGGTGTTTCGTAGCGGACAAGTGTTAGTTGCGTGTTTTTCTGGGGGGAGGGGCGAGCGCAAATTTTGGATTCGAGCATGTTTGGCTAGTGCGGAGGCTTCTCTCTTTGTGTCATATAATAGTTTATTGACATGTGGAAACATACCCGCAAAACGGGCGCAAATACCTGCAAAACGAGCGCAAATACCCGCAAAAAACAAGCGCAAATACGAATCATGTAACTTTTTTTGAAAAAAAAAAAAAAACAACAACCCGTGTTCATAAAACGAGCGTTTTTGGGGGAACGAGCAAATCTTGGATCATTGGGCGAAAATAGTTGGCCCGAGCATTTGTTCTTCGTAACACAAATTTAAGTAACAATGGAAGGTCCAGGTGGAGGTGCGTCGCAAAGATGATTGCCGAGTTAGGATGCGCAAGCACGAAGGGAAGTCCTTTGCGTTCTTGTCTCTATTGAACTTGTCCCGCCAGCTTTCAGTGCAACAGCCAGCCAGCCACTCTTGGACGTCGGACACGTCGGGAAACCTCTATTGCTTCAGTGGGCTTTAAAAGGCGCACGCTACACACACGCAATCACGCGCACATCGACTGGCGTTTTGTGCAAGCTGGAAACCGATCAAATTATAAGAAGCCAATCAAGATCCCCTGACGTGCTTCCTCGTTTCTCCGTGCCGCGGCGCCGTCGTGTGCCACCAGCCGCTGGGGATGAAGACCAGGTCCCCCGGCTTCCTCGGCAAAAGCGCGAGGGGTACAGGTGCAATCGGGGGCTGGACGCAGCTTGGGCTGGCAGAGCTTGGCGCGGTACTGTGATTCAGATGCGTGCTTTGATATGCCAACACTGATGCCGCGTGCAAAATCCAAGCCAACACTGATGCATGAGGTAGTTAAAGAGGGATTTGTTCTGAATGCTTCGAGATGCCAACACTGATGCCGTGATGTCAAACGAGAGGATCCAAAATGAAGTATGATCAAAGCGCCAAGACCATTCCTCAGGGGGCTCATGCCGGTCGGTAATCGCTCTCCAATGCTAAATTGCAGGTCAGGGATTAAATATGAAAAAGAGCCGAGCCTTAGAAGGTGCGAGGGAAAGGAAACCGTGTCTTGCTGATTCAACTTTTTAAGACCTCAGCTTTTGCCCCCAAACCAAACATACATTTATTGATTCTGGTCCATACTCAGTGAATCTCAAAATGTAACATCATGTCAAAAGACATCCCAGCTTTGGTTCCCCCTAGTAGCTGAACATGAATCCAAGCGGGGTTCCATGCTTTTCCGCTACCCCCGCAAGCCACTAAAACAGTGGTGATCACTTCACTTCACTTCACTGAGCCTGAAAAAGGAAGGCATCGTAAAATGTAAATCCAGGCAAGAAATGGCCAAAACAAGCCACCGCGCACCCCAAACCCTGGGAAAGCCACCCAAGATTCGATTGCCACTCCCCGCGACATCCAAGCTGCTGCAGGGCCCACAGAAGCTCATCTGCCGCTGGGGTCCTCACGGAAAATTGCCTCCCCCTGCTCCAAGTCTGCCCCCTTCTCTTTTCCGTTGTTTATTTGCTTCAAGCTTTATCTTTTGGGGGGTTCTATTGGGGAAAACTGGTTGTTTTCCATTGAGATGAGCTGTTTATCTTGTTTTATTTTTCTTGATTTATTCTTTTGCGGGGAAGTGTCTGTCTTGTGGAGCCAGAAAGAAGAGGTGACGAACTTAATAACCCCGTTCGCATCGGATCCCTCGAAACATAATCCCGCTTTCAATGATTGTTCATACTACCCAAACGGGTTGGCACAGAAGGTGATGCTTTGAAGCAATTGCTGCATCTTGCATTGGGGATCCACCCAAACATCCACCCAAACATCCGCCCAAACACACATGAGACACGGCCATGGGTCAAAATCCCGTACCCCCAGTGAACATCCCAATCCCCACTAAAATAGGTTCTAAAATGGGTGGTGAATTCACCTACCCCAAAATGGGATCCCATTAGTTTTGACCCATAGCCACACACACAGAGACACACAGAGACACGCAGCGCGCACATCGGTCCCCAGCACGTCCGCGAGGTCCAGCACCGGTGGGGCGACGTAGTAAAACCGGTCCCCCGCCAAGCCGCTGAGCGCCGCCTGCGTTCTTTTTCGGCCGCGAGGGAGCGAAGCACCTGCTTCCCCAAAGTGGTCCAAAAATCGGAAACCACACACACACACACACACGCACGCAAATGGGGGGGGAGGAGGGGGGTTTGGGATTTTTGTTGACAAAAAAACATGGGACTGCACTCCAACTCGAAGGATTTAGGACTTGCTGTAAAAGGGCTACAAACAAGTCCAACCTGCCCTGAACGGAAATTATCTCAAAGGAATGTAAAAGGCAACCAGCTTCCCCGCCTTGACTCTTGGCAGGACGGTTGAGAAGTCCTAGATGTCTGTCCAACAATGGCGCGTTGCTGGTTCATTCTACCCTTCGGATAGTTGCTTGAGGCAGAACAAAACATCCATTTAGGCAAGTGCCCTACTTACTGCAACTCAAGTCCTGAGTGCATTGCCTGCCTAAATAGTCAACCTCCGTTTTGGAAAGCAAGTCCACTTTCGGGGATGCTCATCTTCTCACAAGTCTTCTGCTGGAGGGCCCGTTTCTACCTAAGCTTCTTCCGCAACTAAACATGATATGTCTCAATCCGGTCCATATCTAAATCTTAAATGTGTAAATTGAATAAGGGACCACCCCAAGAATCCCCGAAAGTGGACCAGGACCCCAGTTCAACGGGGGATTTCCAGCGACGGTTTCTGCCGCCCGCCGCCCAGCCGCCGTTCCAGGCGCCTGCACTTTGGGCGGCGCTTTGTGTCCGGACAGGTCGGGTGCCGCGAAGGCCCAGAGCTTGCAGCCCTCGAAGAGAAGGTTCCTGTCTCGAGCAGAAGCTTCACGTCTTTTGGTTTTGTATTGGAACAGGAAACCCCGTCTCAACAGGGATCTGACTTGGGTTGGGGTCTCGCAAAATAGAAAATTCGGACCCCTTTGGTTGGTATAACCAAAATAACACCAAGCATTTGTTGGTCGAATGTTGAATGGGTTTGAGTCTACCTTGGCACTGTCTTTCGCGCGACAGGCTTTAGATGGTTGTGGAACGATCATCACGCCACAGGGATCCCGCGTTGGGTGGCTCACGCACGAAGCCGGGCAGAAAGCAATCCACAAACAGTGGAAAAACCAAAATCTGGCTTTGGTGTTGGTTGCAAACTGGGTGCGATCAGTAGGAACGGGAAGACAGAGTGGGATGGGGCATTTGTTCATGTATCCAAATCTATATAGCACCCAAAGTGGTTCATCCGATTCCATCGCTGTTCCTTCTTTGTTTAGAGGGTTCTCCAAGTTTCCTGGAAGAGGATTCCTTGTTCTATTTGGTGCCGACTAGGGCCTCACTAGGTCACTGGGGCATCAACTGGGATCTTGTATTCGACCAACAGCAGTTCGGACATGTTGGGTTGGGCCTTGGGCGCCTGGGTTCCCTTTCAGCCAACCCCAAAAAGAGTGTCCCTCAACAAGACACTTGAAGCCAACCCCAAACAGGTTTCCTGAACCAAATCTATATATGAGCACTCATATATATATATATAGACATGTATATACATATATTTGTTTATATATATAATTTATAATATATATATATATTATACATTCTCACATACACACGCAAAATAGCCAGCCCTGGGTTGCAGTCTCCTGCCCGGCTGGGCGCCCAGACCAGGCCGCGGTGCCCCAAGGGTCGAAGTGCCAGCGGCTGCCGGCGCCCGCCGGGCCCAGCAGCAGCCAACCGTTGAGCCCGGTGAAGCCCTCGCCGGGCGCTCGGAGCGCTGGACTTCTCCCGCGAGTCTTACCGGCGGCTCGCGGTGAACCTTTTTTGGGTTGCAGATTTTTGCTGGCCGGGGGCGTTGGGGGGCGCAGTGAAGACTTGAAGATTCCGATTTTGGTCCATAAAGGGAAACTCAAGGAGAGTTTGCCGGTGGGTTGCAATGAAAATGGTTGCAGTGAACAGTTGAAAATGCCAATTTAGGTCTAAAACTGGAAAATCAGGGGCCCTGTTGATGGATTCCTTTCCTATGGTGTGTTGTTGGGTGTTGTTTCATTCACCCTCCCCTTTGAAGAATCAACGGCTAGCCAGTGCCCGTTGATGAATTAGGATGGTGGACATTTGGGATTCCTTTCGCCATGATGAATGACTTAAACTGCGTTCCACTGACAATGAACCATCAACTTCCGAAAACGAAACATTCAAAGGAGAACTGAAAAGGGGTTTGTTGCTCTTTGACTAAAGTGGCTACACTCCACATTTGAATTCCAGAATCTGGCTGCTGGATCTAGAGAGAGCTTCTACAATCCCAGAGCAAACTAGCGCGCTGAGGTGCAGAAAACTAATCTCTCCTAGTTACAGCCCCTTGTATGGGTCATGTTCATGGTTCCCTTCGTGGGAGAGCGTACAGTGGTTATCAAAGTCAATCTAAATCCCTTTTAGTGGATCATGACCCAGCCATCCAACCCCAAGTAACCAGGCGTTTGGATCATTGCACAAATAGACCCGAAACCTATCTTGTGGTTCTGCGAACACGTTGATTATGGGGTGTAGAAAAACTCATTAGAACCTGCATGAAGCCAAGCAATAGGGCCCAGTCAACCTCCGGGGCGTGGGGCGCCACTTGACAGTTCGGGTGGCAGCGAGTACCACTGCTTGCTCCCACATACGTTGCCCATGCAACTTGCAACTTGCATTTTGGAACCCGCAAGGAGTGCAAGTTGGCAAGTGAAAATGCCCAATCAGCGACATACAAAGAGTCGGTGGCATTCTGAAGTCGCAAGATTTTGGCAAAGATGGCGGTCTAAAGCAACGTCTCTGGCTTTGTCTGGGCCAGCCATGGTAGGAGACCTTGCGTTCAGAACCAGCAGATGTACAGCCAAGAAGCCCACGCAGTCTGATGATGTCCATTTATAGTAGTTAGGGACCGCAATTGAGAAACAATATACCATGGGTCTGCTTGCCCCCTCGTTGCTCACCTGAAAACTCAGAAACGCGCTGCAACGCGCGGACACGCGCGCCACAAGCTGCGAGCGCCTCTGGAGGCTCTTTGGCATCCAGCAGGAAGTCCTCCTGTCAGAAAAGATGAGGCTCAATGGCATCAAAATCGGGGGCCCGGGACCCAATGGCCCAAAATAGCAGCTCTCCCTTTTTGGTTTCCCTGTAAGCCAACCTGAATAGGGTGCCGAGCCTCACAAAACCACGAAACACACATACGCACACACCCGGATGGATGTCGGCGAGGACCAAGACGGAGCTCCTGAAAGAGCACCGGCGCGTGGAAGTTGGGGTCCACAGCCTCCAAGGTGAGGGGTCAAGGGTCAAGCGCCAAGCAAAGAGTCGCTAAAGTGTGGTATTCAAGGGTCTACCCAAAACGCTTGGTAAAGAATCAACAGGCCGGATATCCCTGCTTGGGTCTTGTTGGGACCGTTCCCCTTAGCCGGCCCTAACCTTCTCTGGGTTTTGATTGTGCATAATTGCGGCTCAGTTGCCCAATCGCCATGGCGAAAAAAAATGTGTGCCGACTTCCGTTTCGATGTTCAGTGGGTCGGGCAGCCAACAGCCAACGAGATCAAAAGGCCGGCTGCTAATTACTCTTTGCGACAAATGGCCTTAACAGGGAAGAGCTCCTCGCGATGAGACCTATCCAGTGTCAGGACTCGCGGCGCATTTGTCCTCATCAAACAATCAGCGAGGCCTTGTTACATGCTCGTTGATGAAAGGACCCGCCCCCTTGACCGATTCGGAATTTGCATTCCATTATGCGTTGTAGGTGGTAAACCAGCACGAAGGGAATCTTAATAAAATGGGGTTCAGCCAAACTCAGTCTTTGAGCTTCCAGACCAGACAAGGCGCTTGCGCCGGAGGCCAGCCTCCAAAGACAAAGCTTGGATTGGGGCAGTGCCTCATCTTCCAGAAATAATTACTTCCATGTTGGAGGGCAGTTTGGAAGTTCCCGCCAATTAAAACCCCCTCAAAAAGCAAATACTCCTGGCCGCCGATTCTGACAAATCCTAGTCACTTGAAGCTCTGCTTTTAACTCCTGTCCAGTCACTCGGCCACAGCCGCGCGCCTGGCGGATGTCGGGATCCAACTCTTGGAAGAGGTACAAGGGCTCGGAGTCCTCCACATTCCCCTTCGACCCCATGGCGAACTCGGACTCCGCCCGATGTCCCATGTCTTGCCACAGCGCGACCCTTCGGTGGACATCTGAGCTGGGGATTTAGGCCCACCAACCATTTCAGAGTTACCCATTGAAGCTCATGGCCACGTGGTTCGGACATCTTTACGAAGGCAAAGCGACCTTGAGGTTTGCGTTTTAAGATGCTTTAAGGCCAGGTGGACTTGTGATCAGTTGGAGCCAGGCAGTCCCGAGTTTTGCCGGTTGAGTGCTTGACACAAGATACACCGCACCATGTTGCATGTCTGAATTCATAGGCTGAAATCTAAAGCGTATTCTGCCGCTCTGAAACCCATGGCCCCCGCCTTTGGGGACCCGACAACCAACAAATAGCCAGCATTCCTCAATCGAACAGGTAGTTTAGTCTTCAAATTCACGCAGCCACGGGGCTTCCTCGAGTCCTATTCGCCGGATGCATCCCGTCCTGATGCATATCCATGTACTTCAGGTACTCATTGAACGGAAGCCGGATGACGGACACTTTGTTCCTGACACGGGGCATGGAGCAAAGCATCTCATGCGATGCCTCGAGAGAGGGTCAGAAAATCTAGGAAATCAGCCACACCAAGGTCAATTCCAGTGCTTCGGTTGTTTTCTTTCAGGAACTACTTGTCGTTCCATTCGAGCAACGTCCTAAAGCTTACTTTCTGAATGATGGGTCGAAGGTAAACCGCTTCTTTTTGCCCACACTCTGAACTTTCCCAACACTCTCCCGATCGAGCGGGTCAAAATGGCGCCAGGTAATCTGTTCTCACCCGATTTGTGGAATATTGCGGTCCAGATTCAGTCCTGATTATGTGAACCTCAAAGTGCACAACATGTGAACCTTAAATTGCATATTATGTGAGCCTTAAATTGCAAAGCCTGATGTCAGTTGCGATCGCACCGTTTAAAGCCCCCTTTCACAAGGTTCTACGCCCACTACCAATGATTACGTTCGACCTAAAAGTTGCTTGGAATTGTTTGGTTGTTGTTTTGAGGTTCCCCATCATAGCATCCAACCCCGTCCCCCAGCCCTTGCCCTCCCCCACAAAGCACCCTCCCGTTTTTGCGCCTTTGGAGGAAACCAAGGGGAAGCAAGAACCCCGAACAAATCGATCGCGCCTGCCGGCGGTGGCCGTAGCCATGGTGTCATCTTGCACATGGCAGCGGCACCTTGGCAGGTGTCCTCTATCGAAGGTTGTACAGACCCCTGGAACATACGCCTGACAAGCCGCAAATCGGAGTAACTGAGGAGTAAATAAGCCCTAACGAAGGCTTGACTTTCTTTGGGGTTTGGTCTGGGGGTCAGTGGAAGTCTTTGACTCTCATGCCAAAGCGAAAGGAAAGACAACGAGGTAGCTAGGTTTGTCTCTGAATACGGACCCGTATTTAAAAGGGAGTTTCCCATTGGTTTCCTTTAACCCCCAAACTGGGCACCCTCAAAACAAGACACACCGCGCTGCCATGGATAACAGAAGAGCTGGGTGGAGCGTCTGGCAAAAGTTGCAATCCTCCAAGGGTCCCACGTGTCTCATAGACACCTGCCTGAAGCCGTCAAATCCCAAGCCCCCAAGCCCCCAAGCCCGGTCATGGTGGCTTCATCGAGCTCGGTTTACCAGGTGAGACTTCACACGTGGTCCTTTGACCCCTAGAAACGCTCTTTCAGGGGGCCCCCGAACTATTTTGTTCTTGAGTAGAGGTTAGAATAAGGGTACCCACTTTTTCTCTAGTCTATTTGGCAGTGGCTCCAAAAACCGGTACCAAAATGGAGCCCTGCTAAGTGAAAACATGGGCCAAAACCTGCGTAACCCCTCCTGTTTAATTTTGAGCCACGCCCATTTTAGTAGGGGAACCCTCCCAACCAAGCAAGAAACGGTCCAAGGGCGCGATCCTGGACCTAGAAAAGGCCAACCGAGCCGCGTCTTTCGCTTAAGGCCCAGGCGGGCGCTGCTGCAAGACTTCCCCCAGCCTCTCCACGGACCAGGCGGAGCCGGAACTCGTGGCCTGCACCGCAAAGTCCTGGATCCGCAACGTGAGGCCCTGCTATGTACCGCAAAGGGTTCTACACGAATTTTGTCGTGATCTTGAATTCATGTGATCTTTTCTTGACTTCCTGTGACTTTACATGCTGTATCCCATAATTTCAGTCGAATTGTTGTTTTATTGTAGGCCATGATAGTCCTCAGGAGGTTATAATCGCAGTTGTAGGACCACCACACCCTGCGAATGCAGGACACCCCCGGCCAAGAAGGGCAACCAGACAGGCCGAGAGAAAGGAGGCCCAGGGCACATGGGGTCCTGAAGCTTGAGCGGCTGGTAGCTTGGTCGCTTGGCGACGCCAACTAAGTGAGCGGAAGGAACCTGCAGAAGAACAGCCCCTTAGTCCTTTCGTCTATTGGAGCCGCCCCACTGAAAAGGAATGAGGTCCTTCGAATCTACCGCCCCCTTACAGATTGGGTGAGGTGGCCGGTGTCTATATCTCAAAGGGCCAGGACCAAGGGCAAACCGAACCGTACTGCACAAATTCCATATCGCACCTGGGATTGAAACCCTTGTCCTGGAAGAATGAAAGAGATCTTAACCTGCTCCACAAAGATACGGTTAAGACTGCAACAAAAAACCCGCCCCTACCTTCCCCACGCCCACGGGAGGCGCCCAACCAACGCAGAAGCGGATTCCGGCGATCGCTTCCGCAGGTCCAAACCTCGTGGGCTCCTGCAGCACCAGGGGCTTGCCGCCAAGCTCGAAGCTGCGCCGGAAGTCTTCTGCGCCGATGGCGCTCCGCCTGGAGAAGTGGCGCGAAGCTCAGCCGGCTCAAACGGGCTCCCTAATTTACGTATTCCGTAGCAGGTCGTCACTACAAGGCACACCACCACCTGGCATAAGGATTAAAGGTACAAAATCGGTCCCTGAAAGGAAGCCAAAGGACGCCAACACATTGTTGTACCCTTGCCTTGTGGTTGATGCATTGCACGCAACGACTCCCAAGGTCTTTCAGAAAAAAGCGGGAGTGTCTCAAAACGGTTTGTTACTTGCCGGAGTGGCCACAGGAAAAACAAAGTGCAACAACAGACGCCTGCTCGGAGCCGTCCAAGGGACCCTTCGATTTTGCCGACGCCCCCACCTATGTTTTGACCAGATGACATGGCGGTCAAAAACCAAAAACGAGGGGTGGGGTTGAAACGAACGGGTACCCCTTTCCCCTTCAACCTGCCTCTCCACCTTGCCACCTGGGAAGTCTCCAAGATCCAGGGCTTCCTGAGCGGAACCCCCAAACCGGCCCCATGGCTGCCTGCACGTGGGAACCTCGTAGATCCTGTGGTTCTCAACAAGTCCAAACTGGTTGTGCGCCAAGATGCGTTGTCTTTCGCCCAAATGCGTACAGACCCCGTGGGGAAGTGACAGATACGCTAAGGTGGTCCAAAGCAACCACTTGCCCTGAAGGAAAGAGATCCACTAGCACCGAAGCAAAGAACCTAAGGTTGACTATGTTGACTCCTTCAAAAATAACAAAGATTCTTGCTGGGGAACCCTTGGGACAGGGCTGCAACGGTCTGGGGACTCAAACTGCAATCATGGTGTTGGGTGTACTGGAACCCAGGATGACTAAATTCCATGTTGATTAACAGGGGGTGTCCCATTTCAAAGGGATCCGAATCACTCTTGGGGCAAACACATCTCGATCAATCTACCAGGTTCTATTGAAATCAGGGGGTCGCTATTAATCAAATCCATTTCCTTGGGACTGCCCTCATTCTTGCTTGTGATTCAGTAGGTGATCAACTGGGGCCTTGGGAATGACCTAGAGATTCCCTGAAAGGAAACCACCAATTGCCTCAGTTTCATGCCAAGGGACCCTGCTGAGGACGAGCAATTGGATCCCCAAAAACCTTAGTCATGGCTCGTTTTGCCAGAGTAAGAAGCATTTCGGTGTGCCTCAAATAGTGCTACCCATTTACCCTCTACAAGAACCAGGGGTTCAAATCCCAAAACGACCCAAATCCAACCCACCCATCCAAACCACCAAAGGCTACCTGACCCAAGAGGGCACCGGCATACCAAAACGCCACCAGCGCCGCCGCGGCGCGGCCGCGCGGCGCAGCGCTCCGAAGCGCAGGCCGAGCTCTGGGCAAGCGACAAGTTGCGCTCCAGGTGACTCGCGCTCGGAACCTCGGGCCGAGGGGAAACCTCGGGCCCAGGGGAAACCTCGGGCCGAGGGGAAACCACCGGGAACCCGAACCCAGGGGAAGCTCTTCCCAAAAACCAGCCGTTGCTTTTCAGGGCTTTTGAGGGTTTTCTACAAAGAAGGATCTGTGGAAAGAATGGGGAAGCTAGCCCTAGAAAAGCAGTTGGCACTAAGGCATGGTATAGCTGGAGCGCCTAGAACCAATTTTCCCCTGAGTAGTGGAGTCGGGGGTCGCCACTCGACGCAATTGGTTTCATGTTGTTCTTGTTTGAACAAATTGCTTCCATCCCCAAACGTCAAGTCTTGAACAGCATTGAAGAGCCTTCATCTCGCCCGACCTCGTTTTTCTCCCGGATCTGTAAACTTGTTGAGTCCTTTGCCAATCGGTCAAGTCAAGCCAGGCTCTGTTGGAGGCAACTGCCAACCCCGGAACTTCCCCAAGTCTCCTTTCACCACGGCCTATCGTTCCCCACGGTCCCTTGAAGTTTGTCATGAGTCAAATATTGGTGTGTAAAAATACATATATGCATGTATGTACGTATGTATATATATATATAAATATGTTATAACCTACAAAGATCTCCGGTCAAAAGATTATGGACAAGTTGACGCCATTTTCTGGAAACCAACAAACCTCATTTCGATGTCGAGCCACTGCGCGCCAGGAGATCCAGGCACGTGAGCACCCAGCCCTGGATGCGCGGAAGGAAGGGGTCCTCCTCGCAGCCCTGCTGCTCCTGTAAACGAGAAAACAGACCAGCCATGTGGAAGGCGGCGCAATTCCTATTTGTCATCCCCTTACATAAAGGGAATTCTGGCCGAAGTGGAATGGGGTATGAAAGCAACTTACCTCATGCAAGTTGCAATTGGATAATACATTTTAATTATGTAGCCCCCTTATGTTATACAAAACCCAGTGCTTCTCTTGGTAGGATTGCGCGAGTCTCCTACATTGTTCTTCAGAACGTCGGGGGCGCCTTCTGCAAACCTAGCTTCACATATGTATGTGTATAGGTAATGTCACATAGATACATGGAAATCACATTGTGTGCGTAAAAGTAAATCGGATTTATCCATATATGTATTATATATATATATGTATGTATGTATATTGAACATATTACATTGTTTGTATATGTGTAAAGACTTAACAAACGGTGTCCGTTCAGGCCAGCCACAGAGGGTGGCGCAAACGGTCACCCAAGCTCTAAACAGGGCCTTTGAACAAAGTGTTTTTTTTCTTCTTCGGAATGGCATTATTCTATGTACCAAAAGCATCCCCGCTGCGTTGGTCAAACAAAGCGTGTGTGAAACAAATAATCATGTATACATATTGTGTCTGTATCGACACCAACAAGCAGCCTATCAAGATAAATTCAACATCTTGGGGGCGACTCAAACGAGATTGAGTACTACCATCAATATGCATTGCATCCTGTCGAGGCTTCAGCTGGATCCGCCTGACTATCATTGCAGCTCTTTGTTTGCTGCAGGGACATCAAGAATCAACAGGAAACCAACCACTTGTGCGGGGCTCCCGTTTTACACGGGCCCCTTGTTTTACACGGGCCCCAATCCGTATTGGTACCCACCAAAGCTGACAACAGTTGCTTGCATCTGGGCAACTATCTCGCGCGTTGCCTGTGCAAAGGCAGCATTTGTGTGCGTGACAGGGATCATTGCTGTGTGACTCTAGCAATGGGTTGAATCTTTCTGTTGGCTGGTTGAACAGGGCAATAATGACACTCATGTGCGTATAAATAGCAGAAGCTTTCAATCATGGGCAGCGAAAAGCGTTCGTCCAGCTGGAGGTTGATTCCAAGATGTTCAGCAAAACCCGCCATCTCCCATGGGGGGGTAGTGGCTCCCTCGAAGGATCCCTGGAAAGATTTGCCCATCCCATTCTTATGGGGTTCTCATGACCTCTGGGTCAGTATTTCTCAGGTTTTCGCGGAACGATTCGGATCGTTTCAATCTTCAAAAACAGTTCGCCCATCGGCCCATCTTCGTTGCCTCAAAATCGGGGGTGGGCCCTCCGTTCACCGGTGGTTTCCCACTCAGTTTCGTCCCCAAGATCTGCTGATCTTTCAGTCTTTGGTTTCCATGTCCGCCCCGCCCTGAAACAAAGCGGGGCTCCGGTTTCCCTCCGGCCAATAACAAAAAACCGGGGGCTCCCACCGATCCGCGGCTCCCACAGGTCCCACATCGAGACTCCGGGTCCCCGAGTCCTGCAGCAGCTGCAGCGCCAGCTGCCGCCACTTGGGCGGCGCCAGGCCCTCCCGCAGCTCCCGGCAGCTCGCCGCCGCCGCCTGCCGCCCGCCGCAGAAGGCGGCCGAAATAGGTGAAGCTGTTTGGCTGGTCGGTAAGATACATGGACAAAGTACCTGAAAACCTTCTGGCTAAGAGCTTGTACGTATTTCTGCATTTGCCCATAAGATAGTGATACTTTACGAATACCCTAAGACATTCGCGCGAAACCAGACCACACACGGACCAGCAGATCAAGGAGAATCCCATAAGATCCGCTTAATCCACTTCAATAGAAGGCGTTCATTGAACAAAACCTGGTTTGCTGAGGTAGAATGTTCATCTGTGCGGCAGAAACAACACCAAACCGAATCCTTCGAGACGACAAACTGCCCCGTTTAAGAGGCGGCCTTCTACTTTTGACAGCTTGGGCATGATATAAACACCCATGCAAGTGTCTATCAAAGGGTCCGACCAATTAAACACCATTCCGACAGTGATCAACGGACAGTACGACCGGAGTATCAGTATTGGGTGAGCCCCTAGGTTGATTCACAGATGCGTATCGGGTTTGGGTAGTCAATGTCCTATCGACATTTGACGATAATACTTTTTAGTTGTTAATTTCGGTAGATTTCTTGAAATCTGGACCTCATGATGGGTTGTTGCTTGATTTACACCTGGATCGGTGAGCTCTTAGAATCTTCCGCAGATTCGCATCCACTTAGCCACCCCCCTGGACACTTAGACACTATTTTGCAAGCCCATCCCTAAAAGCCGAATACCCTGAACAAAGAGGATGCAACATAGACTCAAACTTTCTTTGTCCAAATCAGGGCACTGCCAAAAAAAAAACGTCTGATTCTGTTTCATATTTTGTCCACCCTCAAATAGAAACTGGTTTAGAGGAGACCCCAAGTCACGTGTTCCACCCGGAAGGTCGGTTTCCTTTGCCTGGCAGGCCCGCAGCCCGGCTGCCCCACAGATCCTTGCCAGCGGCAGGCGACCCAAGCGACGCCTGGGCTTCGCTTGATCGGGTCGATTTTCCGTGAGAAATTGGCTCCGGAACGGACCGAAAAGAGCGCTTGAACAAATACACTGTGGAGGACGAACTCCATTTCGCGCCACCTAAGAAACCATGGAAAACCATTCTGGTAGTCAGGGGGGAATCATTGTTCCAGGGTTTCTTTGGTGGTGCAGGAGTTCGTCCATCCGCAGTAAAAACAAATAAACCGCTGTCTAACAAACGCGCCCGAGCGGCTCTGCAAGCTGCTCCCAGTCACCGCCCATGTCCACGTCGGACCGCATCAACGACCTGAGCGTTCGCCGCGAGGCATGGCGAGGTTGAGCCAAGCGCCTGACATGAGACGTTGGATTTGGGTAAGAACCTCTGTCCCAGCATCTTCTCACAGAAGTCTTCAATTGATTCCCTAAGGTTGTTGCCCTTTCCTTGAGCAAAATAGCAGGCACTGTGGAACCCAGTGCCAACTATTGTTCACCTATATCAGGGATGAAAAAAAACCTGGTGGATAAACCACAAATCCCAATCCGTGCCTTAGATCTTTTCAATCCACGGTGACTCGCCTTTGGAAACCCAGGCGCCGGAACAGCTCTGCAATGGGTCGCCCATCCGCGGCTGGCAAGCTTTCGAGCTGCCACGCCAAGTCCTGTCGACCGGTGACACCGTGGCCCGAGTAGAAAAGGCGCTTTGGGCTGACCTGAGTGGTCTCCGAACCCGACAAGGGGACTTGGAGGGGGACACCCACTGAACGACTGGGAGCATCGGGGCTCATTGGGGGGAAACCTCAAGCTGATTGGGGCTTCCCTTTTGGAAAAGGTTATTTGTTTGTTTCTTACAAACACTCTCTGGGCGAAGTACCATAACTCCCAAACTGCTATTGAGGGAACCCCGAGTTCAGGATCTTCATCATGATTGAGCGCGATTTACCCCAAATAAGCTGCGCCAAGATTAGGCTCTGAACAAATACGCCTGTGAAAGCGACCCTTTTTGGGGGAGCGTGCGAAGCTTGATGTAGTTGACCAGCAAGCAACGACCGTGTTTGTTGAGGGTTCCCGGTTTGAGGTTGGTTTAAATTGCCAACACTCCTGAAGCAATAGTTCGGTCCCTGCATCAAGATCAGGAGACGATACACCAGTCTTTCTGCAGGGACTGGTGTTTGTCCACCAAAGGCAATCCCTCGTACATCTTGAGACACAAGCCCCAAAAGGCAGCTAAGCGTGTCTACGTGTAGGAAATCAAGCACTCCTTGCACAAGGTGAAAGCCGATGTGCCAGGGCTGGTCATGTTTCTTGTGAACTCAGGGTCCCTATCAACCCAAAGCAGCGGTTTTGAAGGTGAGGCAGTCTTTGATATTGCATCTGAGGATTAAACAAAAGCAACCCAATTCAATGGCCGCCAATGCAGAGGGGAATCTTAGCCCTCTCGGACTCCAGGGATTGGGAGAAATGGCCGGTGAACACTGAATCTTGGTACCAGGACCTGAGGCTTGCCTTTGAACCACTAAAAACCCCTGGAAGTCTCCAAACAAGAAACGTTTTAGAGGGAAGCTCATATTCAAAAGGCTCCTCTTGAAGCCTGCAAACAGCTTCACCAAGAGGTCATTTGACGGGTCGTGGTCAAAAGGCAAGTCTTGGAAGCATGATGCGGGGTGGCCGTTAAATCCCAGAGTAGCCACGAATGGTTGGCGTCTTTCCCATTTCCCCACTGAGTGGATCTCAGGCCCCGCTTATAAATCAGTTTCCTTGCCATTGGAGCGTCTGAAAGGAGGGCCCCTCAAGGGAAACCCGCCCTCCCTATACGTGACTAGGGGATGGCTTGATTCTCATATTATTCAGAATGCAGGTTTCCCTTCTGGTGGAAAAGTAAGTCGATACGGGTTGCCATCCACATCTGACTCCGTGCCCCGCCCTGTCTCTCCTCGCGGAAGGCAGCCACCCGCAGCTTGCCGGCGCCCTCCTGGCAAAGGCTCTCGACATCTTCCCGCGGGTGCTGGCCGGACCAAAGACCTGGAGCCGCGGTCAAAATGTCTGGTGGCCACAGAGGCCGATGTGCGAGTTCCCCCAGTCACTCCCATATGTAGCGTCGCCTTCTTTCAACGGCAGCTTCAAAAGAGCGTCTTAGTCCCAGGAAACAAGGCACGCAAACCAACCTACAATAGAACGATGGCTAAGGAAAGCGGCAGCTAAGAGAATGCCAAGAAAAATAGATGTGGTATTGACATTGTTAAAACCATCGTTGCTCGGCCCTGGTCTCAACCCCCACCCTCCAAACAAATTTAAAAGACACATACAGCGATGTCAAAATGCGGACCCCAGCTCCTAGCTGCGAAGAACCGCGTGCCCCAATCTCGACAAAATGCGTAGCCTCGCGAACAAAATCAAATGCACAGGCCGCGGTGAATAGAGGGCTTGAGAAAAAAACGTTAATCTTCTTCGGGTTTGCCTTTTGGGGACAATTGCGCCCTGGAAATTCCCAACGGTTCTGGAACCCAGACATGTCACCCACCGGGGCGCATCAATCCGCCGACCATCCTGAGCCATGACCCACTTGTCTCAGCAGCTGGCGCGAGTTGCATGTAATTGGCATTTGCACCGCAAGTGCCGCTATGCAAGTAGCGCAGAGAAATGCAGGTCACACAAGTAAGAAAGGCTGGCCCTTTCGAAAACACGGCCTGGAAGCAGGTCGTCCATGGGGATGATCATCTCTGAGTCCTGAGCTCCACAAGTCCCAACGACGGGGGAGGTGGAAACCACACTACCAGCTGCAAAGGGGTGTCATCAGTCACCCACTCAGTCAGTCAGTCAGTCAGTCAGTCAGTCACCAGTCGGTCATTCAACGGTAGACAATAATGTATATGAGTATGTTTACGCGCATGTATGTGCGCATAGGTAAGTATGCGTGGATGTGATCTGTATATGTGCATGTGTCAAATTGTGCACATACATGTCTCATAGGCGTTTACATACGTGCATGTGTATGCGTGGGCAAAATGTATATGTGTATGCAAATGTGCATGTATACGTACATGCATATGCGCTTGTGTATGCATTTGCGTACGCCTATGTGCTGGCACATGTGTGTTTATGCAGATGCATATGTGAATTCACATGCATGTAGGTATACGGCGCATGTGTGTGTGTGCGCACAGTTGTGTGCGCATGTGTGTGTGTGCGCATATGTATGTTAGCACATGAGATTACATATGTGTATGCACATGCTGATGTGTTTGCATATGCAAATACGAACGTAGATGAATATTACGCATACGCGAATGAACCTGCACAGGCAAACACATATGTATATTTGTATGATATGTGCGCACGTATGTGTGCGCATATGCAGATGCGTATGCATTCGGCGCGTGTGTGCATACGTTTGTACGTGTGTGTGTGTGTGTGCGTGTGTGGTATTTTGCTGGCATTGGCTCGCAGCCCAGACTGCCTGGCGCCTCTTTTGCTTCCGGCCAGGACGAGGGTGAGTCCGTGGTTGCGGCTTCGTGCTGCTGTGAGAGATCACAGTGGCAAGCGCCCGCGGAGAAGCAATGCGGTTCAAGGACGTCACCGGGTGTCACCCACTTATTTGGGTCTCCGAGCCTTCCGGGCGCTTAGCCAGCTTGATCTCCAAGTGCTGCAGGAGGCGATAACGTTTAAGGAGCTCTTGCGAAGCCAGGAGGGATAGCGCCTTAGGCAGTGGCTCTGCACTTGCGCTCACTCACTCATACGTACATTGATGTAGGTGCATAGTACACGTAAAAGTGAATGCACACGTGCTCGTGTGCGTGTGTGCGTGTGCGTGTGCGTGCGCGTGCGTGTGCGTGTGCGGGTGCGGGTGCGAGTGCGGGTGCGCGTGCGCGTGGGCGCGCGCCTGCTTGCCTGCCTGCCTGCCTGCCTGCCCCTGCCCGTGCCCGTGCCCGTGCCCGTGCCCGTGCCCGTGCCCGTGCCCGTGCGCGTGCGGGTGCGGGTGCGCGTGCGCGTGCGCGTGCGCGTGCGCGTGCGCGTGCGCGTGCGCGTGCGCGTGCGTGCTGCGTGCGTGCGTGCGCGTGCGTGTGCGTGTGCGTGTGCGTGTGCGTGTGCGTGTGCGTGTGCGTGTGCGTGTGCGTGTGCGTGTGCGTGTGCGTGTGCGTGTGCGTGTGCGCGCGTGTGTGTGTGTGTGTGTGTGTGTGTGTGTGTGTGTGTGTGTGTGTGTGTGTGTGTGTGTGTGTGTGTGTGTGTGTGTGTGTGTGTGTGTGTGTGTGTGTGTGTGTGTGTGTGTGTGTGTGTGTGTGTGTGTGTGTGTGTGTGTGTGTGTGTGTGTGTGTGTGTGTGTGTGTGTGTGTGTGTGTGTGTGTGTGTGTGTGTGTGTGTGCGTGTGTAGGCATGTAGCAGGCACAAAGGCCGAAGGTCGGTAAGCTCCAGCAGCAGGTCGGCCCCCTCCGGCGACACGCAGTATGCCTCAGGAAAGTCTCCGAACTACTCACTTCCTGGAGTATCAAAGTCAGCAACTGGAGGGAGGTTCCTTTAGCTTATCCCTTAGTGACATTGACAATGGTAAAATCATGCGGCCAGAACTACAAACGCCGTTGATGGACGAAATCCACGCCAGGCATCAGTTGGTAGGTGATTTGACATTGGGTTCCATCAATCCCAGCTGCATGATGTTGTCCATCCACAGGGTCGCTCACGTTTGCCAGATCAGGCAAGTGATTGGTGGATTCATATTTTTGGGGAATCCTGGGGTAGGGCTAAGTTGAAGAGGGCGCGGTGACTGGAGTTTGGAAATACAGACGTGCCTAATTAGCCATTTCCAGCGATGGGCCAAGTCCAATTTGCAGCTTCTTGCTTGCAAAACAAACTCAATCCTTAGCCCTACCCTGCCACCCAACCTTGTTTGATCCTGAGCTCATACCCAGCCAACCTTTACCCCTCGCCTACTCCCGCCGCAAGCCAATTCTCAACCAAGTCCACACCACCAAGATCTGGTAACTCTTGCAACAAACGGGGCCCTTCCCAAAAAAATAAGAACGAATGTCCCTTCCCTCGCAACCTCCGTTTCGGGAAATTCAATCACCAGACAGGAATGCTGTCTCATGACAAACTTCTAATGCGACCGTTTGGGTACTGCTCATCCAAACCACTCAAAGAGTGGTGCTTTCTCTTTTGGTTTGCAGGGCTCAAGCTCGCAACAATTGGATATTGCCCAACATTGTGGCATTTTGTTGTTTCAGGGTACATGTAGCTCCCAACGTACAACATGCCCCCTTACAAAAGGGGCTCCCCAAAGGGCGATTTCTTCACACAAGCTCTTTTGTGGGGTTCCATGTCAAACTGCCGGGCTGGAAGATGAATTTCCTGTCTAAGAGGCCGTGCCATTTTAGCGAGTGGGATGGCTCCCAAATGTCTGGACTTGTTGCTGTGTGTCCCTGGCTGTGGAGTTCAGCGAGACACACACGCCAGAGGTGCTGGCCTTTTTGCTTTTTGCTTTTCGGCGGGATCTGTTTTGTGGGCAAAATATGTTTTGTGCAGCTCGATTCAGGAAGTGTGAGTGGTGTGTCCAACGCCTCAGGCCAAAATGAAGGTGTCCTAAACCAGACCACACGGAATCTAAAGAAGAACTTGCGCCTACCGCGAAGTCTAGCTCCTTCGGCCAAACGTATTGTCTCTGCACGAAATCTCGGAGTTCCCATGTCCAAGTTCAGCCACATCACGTGCAGGCAAGTGGAGAACCCGGCCAGCACCAGGTCGCACTCCCCGAGGATCTTCTCATCTTCCCCAAACCTCGGAACCCAGGAAGGCACAAAAGCCCAGGGAACGTGAGGTTCCCATGTAATTGGTTCCCCAAAATATCCCAAATTTGGGGACCCCTGAAAGTGGTTGATCCTCTTGGACTGCTTTAACATACTAATTATGGGTCCCTAAGTGTTGGGCATGCCCAAGAGGGACATTGGATCAAGCCGGACATCGGGGCTCGCTGGCCGGACATCGGGGCTCGCTGCAAACTGTTTTTTGTACATGAGACCCTTTGCAAGCCGAGCCATTTGCGAGATTTTGAAAGACGGGAAACTCGGCAATTTGGAGCCAACGGGTGGCACCCACTGTGGTCATTTTGACCATTTCTGGGGGTTCCCAAAGTCAGAAACTGGGGTGGTTTCACTGTTTCACCTACCACTTGGGGTGGCTTTCACGCTGGCGGAATCATGGAGCCAGACCCACAAAGAAATCAAAAGCCAGCAAAGCCCAGACAGCTCCCCGAGCTGAGATGACCTACCAAGCACAAGTGTGGCTTGCGCATGCCATGGCGTTTGGTAAATGCCTGCACGAGGTTCCCTAGCCAGATCCAACCTGGGAAGAATAAAGCTGAAGCAATACACGAGTAGGAGGACAGCCTACAACATTCAGGACCTTGACAGCAGCCTCCTTTCTCACCGGACGGTTGTCTCAAATATGAGGCGCAGGGCCAAGGAAACACTGTAGCTTCCAATGGTGAAAACAAAAAGGCAAGCATGTCAACAGAGAAAGCCCAGTACCTATCCATGGCTTGTGGCTGTGCTTCAGGAATCTCCGAGTCTCTCAGCTAGGTTTCCTGCCGGTGCCGACCCAGCAACAGGAGGTGCCAAGGAATCTGCTTGGCCTCGCGCTCTCGGCCGGGATCATCGCTCTCGTAGGGGGTGACTTACAACAAAAACCTCCCCCAGGAACATGAAGCCAAGGACCCGCTTTGGGTGAATCGGTTGGGAACCCACCAAACAAAAGAGGAAAATGGGTGCAACTGGACAACAGGTGCCACCAAGTTGCACAGGGCACCCATTGTGTAACTGACCAAAACGCAGGTCCCCCCCCCACACATCTCTCCATCGGTTGACAAGGACACTGAATCCTGGATTGTGATCACTGGTGTGCACAAGTTGATACACTGCGTCTTGTCAAACCCTGAGGCAGTCACACGCAGGTGATACATTGCGAAATCAGAACAAGTCTTGATGCGCGAGATGCATATACTGAAACAAATGCAAAAGACACCTGGACCCCTCCCCCAAGAAAAAGTCCTGTAGATGAAACCTTCCCTGCGATCCTCCGCCGCCGCCTTTGTTTCCCAGTCTTTTTCCGCTGTGCAGACCATCCGCCCCTTTCCGCATCTTCCCCGCGCTGCCCGTGTTCCGAAAGACCCTCGTGCCTCGAGGGTGCGGATGGCCTCGAGCAGGGCGGCCCACAGAGCCGCCCAGCGCCGGCAGCACAGCTGCAAATAGGCCTCCTGCGCCATGGTCGTTTTGGCCGAGACATGGGTTCCTTTTCGAGTCCTTTTGAACCACATAAAAAGGGTACCCATGTATATGTGTGTACATACATATATATATATATATGCCGAGGCCCCCCGCCCAACCATGTACATCTACAACACACACACACACATATCCATATCTGCAGAAACTACGTACTAACTCCAAAACCTGAAATAACAAGCGCCTCAAGAAAAAATATCGGTAAGCTCGCCTTCGACGCCGCCCGGCGCCTGAGCCTCCTCCTCCTGCGGCGGCAGGAAGGAAACGGGCACCGCATCGTCCTCCAGGATCCTTGGAGCGCTGAGAAACGGTTGGTTCTCAACTGGGGGTGTTGCATGTTGCCTTGTTTGGCTGGTGATCTTTGTTTTGCTGGTGATCTTTTCCTGGGCCCTTTGGTGGACGTCATTTACATAGGGACCCTAAGGATTTATGTCCAGAAGCCATAGCCAAATGGGGCGGGTGCACACAAGCTCCGATGTTCCGGTTTGGCTTCCTAACCAAGAGGAACCCCCCAATTTTGAGACAACAGGGTGGTTTCCCGCTTGCCCTTGAAATCAGCTACCCTCAAAAAAGACACCCTCCAGGTGGAACAATTTGCGCCTTTGACCGTCACCCATGTGGATTGCACCGACTGTTTTTCTGGTCGCCAGCTCTAGGCAGCTGTTGGATAGGGGGGACTGGGGCAGCGCCTGGAAAGTCGACCCCGAATTCATCTGGGTGAATTATAATGGTTCACCAACCTGAAACAAGGTGGTTGGGGGGCTATTCCCCACAAAACCACTATTTGGGGTGAGGTTGTGTGAGGTCGTTACAATTCACCCAGATTCATGAACCAGGCGGAATGGAGAGTGTTCCCAAGCCGAGATTGGTCGCTTGCTGACTTCAACTAGGCGAACTGGACCATGCCCAGGCAACGGCCTGTGGGACGCCCCACTCAAACCAGGGACCACTTCATATTTGGTTCTCAGCAGTATTTTGGTATGTCTCACAACAGGGGGACCACCAAAATTTTGGTTTTCGTGTTGGTGTCCAATCGAAACTACACGAAACATGGGTACCCTCTACAAAGAACACAAACACAAACACAAACACACACACACACAAACAAACAAACAAACAAACAAGCAAGAAAGCAAGCAAGCAAGTAAGCAAACACGCACCACCCATTCGGAGCCGCGTGCGTCTCTCCAGCCGAGGCTCAGAGCAAAGGGCGCCCCTTTCGCCGCTTGCCAGGCTGCGCGGTGGCTGAGGAAGACCCCCACCTCCCCCGTGGAGATCTCACGGCCGTAGAAGCGCCGGATCTCCTGAGCGAATATGACCAGATAGGTGTGTTTGTGCATGTTTAGGACTCACATCGCTAATCTCTCTTGACGCTAAGCCTGTAAGGAGAACAATCAATTCACATGATCGCATTCATCCTAAACTTCGGGGCGAAATCATTTGAGGGCAATCACCCTGTTCAGATTGGCTTAAGTGGTTTAAGTTTAAAAGAATGGCAAAAGGAAGACCACAAGGTGTTGCCGATTTTGACACGCGCGTCTCCCTCCCGAGAACCCTGACATGGAGTATGCTTTTGTTGGGGCAGCCCACCTTGGTCGGTTTTGAAGGCACGGAAACCCACATGGCTTCAACCAACGCCGAATGCGATCCGGGCCGTTCTGTTACCATTCAAAAAGTCCCCGCTTGCCCTCCCACCCCTTGGAGTCTAAGATCCGATCAGAAAGAAATGCGGCTGCTGGAAAAGAGGACCCGGCTTTTTTGAGGTTCAGAGCAACCCTAAACCCAGACAAGATGTGAATATCCGCGGAACCCAAGGGGTACGGCGCCCGGGAAGGGTGGTTGGAGCGTAGGCAAACACGATATATATAGGATGCTTTAAGGAGTCAAGTGACAGTCATACTGAGGATAATGCTGATGATAACAGCAATCGCAATGATAATACCATAAAAAGCACCATTGTAGTAACCATTGTGTCAAAATTGACAAGCAGCACATTCAGAGGAACTACGGAAAGTGCTCCTGACTAAAACCCCAAACAGCTAGGCTGACACACACACACACACAAACAAACAAACACACACGCACATGCAGCAGTGTGCATGTGTCGTACTTTTTATTCCGCGGCGGTGCGTTTGGAGCGGGGGCCTCAGGCTGACAGCAGGATATTCCTCGACCACCATTGCCAAATTCAAGAACGGTATGTGTACAGCAAGTGTTGGTGATTTGGAGGGGCGACCCAATCAAGAGTGTTCCCTGGTGTGGAAAGCCCTTGGCTGCTTTAGCACTTGGATGTTTCTTAGGTACAGAAAATGGTCGTGACCTCCTTTCCAAGGCCTTGGGACCCTCCCCCCGCTCGCTGCGCTCGCTGCGCTCGCCCGGCGCCTTGTGCCCCAAAGGCTCTTGCGGAAAGAGCCTCCGCCAGCGGTCCTCCGTCGCCTGAAGCGGAGGTCTGGGGGCTTGGAAGACGTTGCCTAGGTCCTCCAGTAGAGAGAATGATGGTACCTACTTTTTTCGGTTTTGTCTATTTTAGTAGGGGCACCCTCCCCCCAAAAAGGGTAAAAGGGCACTACTGGGGGACCTAGTTGCTTTGCCGTTCAAACTGATCTGCTCCGGCTTGAAAAGCGGCCAGAAGGATCCGCTCTGTGATTGTTGGAAACAAATGCGGGCGGGACAAGGAAAGGAAGCTTGCGGTTTCCTAAGCCAACCCTTCAGGATTCAAAACTTCAGCTTATCCCCCAATGGCTTGGACTGCTCTGGTCCGGGAAAGCCTACCAGGGTGAGCCAATCAGATCAATGAAAAACAAATCGAGCCCATTGTCGGATTCAATTAGCAATTGTCGGAAAACGAGCAGCTGAGGTGGCCACTGAAAGCAAAGGGTCAAAGGCTCAGTTGTGTTTGGACAGGACGTGGCATGTACCTCTGGGTTCATATCCCGCACAGGCCCAAGATATATGACAGTACGTTTGCCAGCCCCTAACCCCCGTCTCTCCTGTTGACTTGCCTTGAACTGCATTTGCTGCGTTGCGTTGTACATAGTATTTGATCTGAGCAAATTGTAGGGTACACAGCCAGCAAGAAAGCCTGCATCACTAAGTGTGGGGTTTGCACACCTTTTTGGGTATGTCAATCTAGTTTGCCCAAGCCCAACCTGCCTGCCCATTTTGCCCCCTGTGGGGAAATTCGCTAATGTCCCCCTCGCTTGCCCTCTTGAGGGACATCCCGATTGAAGAAACCTCACTCAAGAGTTGTCCAACACTTGCTGCTGCTCTGCAAGGAATGACCTAGGGTTTTGGGAATGAACCCAGGCTTCCCCTTGAAGGAAACCGCAAGGGATGGTCTCTAGGGGTCATTCCCCCATTCCTCCTGAGAACCGGCAAGGAGATTTTGACTTCCATTTGTTTAAGGCTCCAGGAAAAAACAACATATTCCAGTAGTGATGATTTCCTTTAAAACCAAGAAGGGAGAATCACAAAAAAAACATATATTCTCAAGCAAATGGAGGTTGATAGGAGGTTCCTCGGCCTTCAGCTTGGACTCGCTCAGCGGCCACCACGGAGCTGGAGTACCCTGGCAAGCCCCATGGCTCCCAGACAGATCTCAAGAAAAATGCGAAACGCAGATCGGCCACCTTCCATGTCAAGGGCCAAAGGTATATCTATAAAAAATGTATGGCATATCTGGTGTAGCTCCTTTTGAGAAAAAGAAACGAAGCCACCGCAAGCTAGAAGAGATCGAGGCAAAGATGCTAGCATGTGCTGTGCAGGAGTGGCGCTCAAATCAGGGCAAACAGAACCCTTGGGATGGTGGTTTGTTCCAGCTTGAAAACTGTTGTTGGGGAAAAAACACATGCCCATACAATCCCTGAAACATAGGTCCCAAACCAGGCAGTTGATAGTTGATGTCCCTTCCACAAACATCAAGGCTTCTCATGTCCGAAGAACGGTGTCCTAAGTTGCCCAATTGGTTACGAACTCTCCCTTCACTCATGCTGAAAGGGATGCGTCCATGTTGCGCCCTCCAGAAAGAAGCGTCCTCAATGGCCCAATGGCTTATGGTGGGTTTCGGGCAGGAGGTCAGTTTTTGATTCAGGGTGGGTTTATGATCGGATTAGGATGGGTTTAGGGTCGGTTTAAGGCGGGGTTAGGGTGGATTTATGGTGGGCTTCAAGCGGGTTTACGGTAGGTTTACGGTTGGTTCCGCAACGCCACACCGCAAGCCCTTCATGCTTCCCAAATTCGTTTGGTTGCAGTTAGCGTCGGCTGTTGGCGAATGTCAAATCACAAGCACTGCTCCCTCATACTTCCTAATCTTGCTTGGTGGGCCCTGCTCCCTTATAAGCTTTCCTATCTTCATTGGTTGCAGCAAATGTCGGCTGTTGTCATGTATTGCTACTTTCTCTTTGCTAGTTGGCCAGCCTGGGTGATGCCATTTCCAAATTGCAAGCGTCGCCCCCTTATGCTTCCTAATCTTGTTTGGTTGCAGGTAACATCGGCCTTTTGCTTCCTTATCTTCATTGGTTGGAGTTGACGTCGGCAGTTGGCACGTTTTGCTATTTCCTTTTCTACTTGGCCAGCTTAGGTGATAGCATCCGCGAGGAATGCAACATCGCAACCCCTGCTCCCTTATGCTTCCCAATTGCGTTTGGTTGCAGTTGACGTCCGCTGTCTGCATGCTTTGCTACTATTTGGCCAGCCTAGCTTTGACGTTGCCAGCCTAGGTGATGCCGTGAGGAAACGTGAGAAGATGCCCACTTGCAAGCCCCCCTTGTGCTTCCTTTCCTTGTTTGGTTGCAGTTCACGTCGGCTGTTGGCATGCTTTTCTACTTCCTGTGCTACTTGGCTAGGTTAGGTGATCCCCTGAGGAATGCAACACCGCATGGCCTGCTTTCTTGTTTGGTTGCAGTTTGAACAGGAGATCTGTTTGGAATCATAGAAAGAAAACCAAAACGAAACGAATCCACCCAACTTAAGTTTTTATGGATGGGAACTGCCATTTTGAATGCCCCTTTTTGACAATATCCTGGTATCCTTTTTCTGTTGTTTGGCAGGTAAGCAAAGGACATCACGCCCATCTTTGGAACAACACACGTGTGGGTATTTTTTGTATTGGCACCATTTCGCAGAAAGGCCCATGTGGTGCGTTCCCCTTAAACTGGGCTGCCTGCTACACTTGACGGGCCAGACCAAGTTTGCCTTCTTGTTGAGCCTTGGCGAAAATGATGAAGGAAAACACTAGGAAACTTACTTAAACCAACTCGAAGTTTGCCAACCAGGATCAGGCCATCCCCGTGTTGCTGTTCATTACATACCGGATGCTCTCAACAACTTGAAATCAACACACCACCCCTCCTGTTTAAACATTTGTGTTTTGTTTTAAAAAAGCCCCTATGAGGCCTGAACAAGTATGATCAAGAGCTTGATGGAGGATAGCACCCCCCATAGCCCCCCGTGAAGGGTCCACGAAAAGCCCCGCCGACCCCCCGCCTGCCTTTTCCGTGACCGTCACGGCTGGCAGCAGCGCAGCATCCGCTCCCGCCTCGCTCAGCGCCGGTAGGCAGCTCCTGTGACCAGTGAAGGCACCTGTTGACCCAAGATTCATGCACGCATAAATGGCCTCTGGACAAAATCCAAATCGTACCCGCAGTGAACATCCTAATCCAACCACTAAAATAGGTTCTAAAATGGGTGGTGCACCTTCCAAAAAATGGTACCATTGGTTTTGACCCACAGCCAAATGTGTGTATGGATATCTAATTACATAAATATGTGTGACTGGTGTATAATAACATGTGTATATATATATATATATGTATGTGTGAATGGTTAATCATGATATATAGAGAGAGAGAGAACCTTGTTGTTGCCTCTCCAGTGCACTATTTGCCCACCTAGGACTGCAAGGAAGCATCTCTCAAGTAAGACGATTTACCTCTGATTCTTATAGTAGTTGAATTTCAAGTTGAAGTATAACTTCCGGTGGAATGTCCTTTGTACTTTCTATTTATTTCAGTAAACTAGGACCAAACTAGGACTAGAGTCACTGATCTCTCAACTGGGACTAGGATCAAACTGGGACTAGACTACTGAACTCTATTTCTCATAGTACTTGAATATAATACTCAGTGATTCGTTTTGTTTTTTTTCCACCTCTAGCCTTTTGATGGTCACCCTTGGTCACTCGACATCGGGTATGCCGAACTCGTGATGCGAAAAAGCCCCGATCTCTGACTGCGAAAAAGCGCATTTAAATATGTTACACAGGAAATCCTCTTCAATGGAACTGCATCTTGCAAATCAGACAACATTAAAACACAGCATATTCAGCATATTTGGGACCTTTGACTTCTTTCCTGATTAGTTTTTCTTGATGGATTTACCAAGTTCTGCTGAATTTCTAACAGAAATTGAACATTATTCAAGAGGGACATCATCCAATCAGTATGTCTATTTCAAAATCGAATTTAAATATTGATTATTATATTTCAATTTAAATGTCACACATCATGTCCTTTCCAATAGGGATAAACATGCCTCCACAGGTTTCCTCGTCCACAATCCCAAATCGGCAATCCCCTTTCGGGTGGCGTTTAAAGATATCTCACCCTCCCACGAATTAACATGGAACCTGACAGCAGGTCCCTTTACAAGGAAAATTGTCTTCCAGCACCCGCGCTCTAAACAAAACCGGCTTTAAAGGGGCGCCCTCCAAATCTATTTGGCGTGTTTGCTTCCCTTAAGTTCGCCACAAAGGAAGGCCCCACAAAAGGAGCCTCCCTCATCTACCTTAGCGAACCAAGCAAAGTATTTGTGATTCTGCTCTATACTTGGTTGACCCTGTTCGTACCTTAAAATGCAATCACCATTTTTTATCCAAAATAATTGAAATTGACCTTCGTTGAGCGAAGCATAATTCCGTATCTTTGGGACTCCCGCAATCAAAGAATTATCACGCAAGGCGGAAAGCTTCTTCCTGCACATCCATCGCCGCCGGTCTGGTCGGCTCTCCAAATTGATGACCTTGCAAAGCGGGGAACATTTTGCGGCCTCGGTGACTTTGCTTTCGGGTGGGAGTCATTTATTTGCATAATTACTTGCGGACCTAGGTGCCCAGTGCACGAAACATGGCATAGTGTGTGGGTGTGTCGTGTTTGTTGTGTTTGTTGTGTTTGTTGTGTGTTGTGTGTTGTGTTGTGTTGTGTTGTGTTGTGTTGTGTTGTGTTGTGTTGCGTGTTGTGTTGCATTGCGTTGCGTTGCGTTGCGTTGCGTTGCGTTGCGTGGCGTGGCGTGGCGTGGCGTGGCGTGGCGTGGCGTGGCGTGGCGTGGCGTGGCGGCCCGGCGCGGCGCGGCGCGGCGCGCGCGGCGGCGGCGCGGCGCGGCGCGGCGCGGCGCGGCGCGGCGGCGCGGCGGTGCGGTGCGTGCGCGGCGGCGGTGCGGTGCGGTGCGGTGCGGTGCGGTGCGGTGCGGTGCGGTGCGGTGCGGTGCGGTGCGGTGCGGTGCGGTGCGTGCGGTGCGGTGCGGTGCGGTGCGGTGCGGTGCGGTGCGGTGCGGTGCGGTGCGGTGCGGTGCGGTGCGGTGCGGTGCGGTGCGGTGCGGTGCGGTGCGGTGCGGTGCGGTGCGGTGCGGTGCGGTGCGCGGTGCCGCGGTGTTGCGTGCGTGCGGTGCGGTGCGGCGTGGCGTGGCGTGGCGTGGCGTGGCGTGGCGTGCGTGGCGTGCGTGCGTGGCGTGCGTGTGCGTGCGTGCGTGCGTGCGTGCGTGCGTGCGTGCGTGTGTGCGTGCGTGCGTGCGTGCGTGTGCGTGTGCGTGTGTGTGCGGTGTGTGTGTGTGTGTGTGGTGTGTGTGTGGTGTGTGTGTGTGTGTGTGTGTGTGTGTGTGTGTGTGTGTGTGTGTGTGGTGTGTTGTGTGTGTGGTGTGTTGTGTGTGTGTGGTGTGTTGTGTGTGTGGTGTGTTGTGTGTGTGTGGTGTGTTGTGTTGTGTGTTGTGTGTGTTGTGTGTGTGTGTGTGTGTGTTGTGTGTGTGTGTTGTGTTGTGTTGTGTGTTGTGTTGTGTTGTGTTGTGTTGTGTTGTGTTGTGTTGTGTTGTGTTGTGTTGTGTTGTGTTGTGTTGTGTTGTGTTGTGTTGTGTGTGTGTGTGTGTCTGTGTGTTGTGTTGTGTGTTGTGTGTTGTGTTGTGTGTTGTGTGTTGTGTGTTGTGTGTTGCGTGTTGTGTGTTGTGTGTTGTGTGTTGTGTGTTGTGTTGTGTGTTGTGTGTTGTGTGTTGTGTATGGGTGTGCGTGGGTGCGTGGGTGCGCGGGTGCGTGGGTGCGCGTGGGTGCGTGCGTGCGTGCGTGCCTGCCTGCCTGCCTACCTGCCTGCGTGCGTGCGTGCGGGCGCGCGCGCGCGCGGGCGTGCGTGCGTGGGTGTGGGTGTGGGTGTGGGTGTGGGTGTGTGTGCCTGTGCTTGTGCTTGTGCCTGTGTGTGTGTGTGTGTGTTTGTGCGTGGGCTTGTGTTTGTGTTTGTGTGTGTTGCGTGTGTTTGCGTGTGTCTGCTGTGTGTGTGTCTTTGTGTGTGTATGGTGGGTGTGTGCTTGTGCCTTTTCTCTGCGTGTTTTGTAGTTCTTGTGTATGTGTGTGTGTGGTTGTGCGTGTGTATTGTTTTCCCCTTCTGTTTTTCCCCAAACAGTTTACTGCGAGGGGTTCTAAATTCGTTTAAGAGCCATAGCCTGGATGCCTGGCACGGCTCTCTGGGTGGACGAGTTCATTTGTCTCCCTTTGTCTCCCTTCATTTGTCTCCCGTTGTCTCCCAGCCTGGATGCCTGGCACGGCTCTTTGTCTCCCTTCATTAGTCTCCGGGTGCCTGGCACGGTCTCTGGGTGGACGGGTTGCCTCCCTTCATTTGCCTCACGTTGTCTTTGAGCCTCTCCCTTCATTTGTCTCCCGTTGTCTCCCAGCCTGGATGCCTTGCACGGCTCTCTGGGTGGACGGGTTCATTTGTCTCCTTTGTCTCCCTTCATTTGTCTCCCGTTGTCTCGCCTGGCACGGCTCTGGCTGGACGGGTTCATTTGTCTCCCTTTGTCTCCCTTCATGTGTCTCCTGTTGTCTCCTCCCAGCCTGGGACAACGCGCAACTCTCTGGGCTGTTTCTTCCGGGCTGGGAAACAACACGAAACAAATGGGACACAAAGGGTGACAAATGAGTCCGCAGACAATGGGAGACAAAAATGAACTGTCCGCCGCAAATGAATCCGTCCATCCGGGAGACAAATGAAGGGACAAAGGGAGACAAATGAAGCTGTCCGCAACGGAGAGCCTTGCCAGACATCTAGGGAACACAAATGAATTCGTCCACAGACAAAGGGAGACAAATAATTCGTCCACCCAGAGAGCCATGCCAGGCATCCAAACTGGGAGACAACGGGAAACAAACAAAGGGAGACAAATGCATCCATCCAAGAGCCGTGCCAGGCACCCAGACAACGCAAGACAAACGAACCCGTCCACCCAGAGAGCCGTGCCAGGCATCCAGGCTGAGAAACAACGGGAGACAAATGAAGGGAGACACAGGGCCTGTCCGCCCCGAGCCTGGATGCCTGGCAAGGCTTTGTGAGTGGACGGCTTCATTCGTCTCCCTTTGTCTCCCTTTATTGGCCCGGTTGGCTCCCAGCCTGGATGCCTGGCGCGGCGCTCTGGGTGGACGGATTCATTTGTTTCCCGCTCTCAGCTTGGACTGCATCCCGGCGCAGCATGTGTGTGTTTTCGGCTCAGAAACGCGTGTCTGAGCGCGCGCATGCGCTTGATCAAGCAACGGGCAGCATGCTGCGGATGCACGCATGAGTGCTTCAAGTGAACGATTGTGTGTTCTTGGTGTGTTCTAGCTGACCACATCGGCGCGTTCCAAGTGAACACGTTTTTTTGGCATGTGACCGCATGAGTGTGTTCCACGTGAGCACATATTTGTGTTCCAGGTGAAAGCATGCGATTGTTCTGATAAAACGGTCAAAATTCTGAATAAGAGAGCTTTGTCTACAGAGGCCGCCGTCGCAGTCACTTTGTGCCGCGTTTCATTCATACAAGGCGGAGTCCTGCAAATACCAATGGATTGCCCGCTCCTCACTGGAAGCGCTAGGATGGCTCTTGATTTGCGCTAGGGTCTTCGGTGGTCTTGGTTTCCAAGAGTTGGCGCGTGGGTTGCTGCGATGGGCTTTGTGTGGCCTTACTTAGTACTTGAAGCCAGCCTGCACGTTTACCTTCATCTTACGTGGCCTTAATTTGTCAAATCCACACAGATGGCCGCCGTGACTCCAAAAATACGGCGAAGACGCACTAGCCGCGCGCTAGCAAGGCGCTAGCACAGTGGCCAAGCTACGCCTCAATGCAAATTTGCTTCCGCTCTCCTCACATGCAATTACCATGGCGTGCGATTTGCTGGACCAAACGGGAAAAAACGGCTGAGGCAAGAAAGCAGGGATGCCTTGCAACGAGCATACGGAAGAATTCGGTTGTGTATTTCCCTGCGAAAGCAGATGCTTTACTGAATCGATACGAAGAGTTGCCAGAAAACGATAAAGGCACTTTAAAGCGTTCTATCGAGCAACAGATTGCTCGATACGAAAGACACTGCGCAGCCAAGCGAGAAAGAAGCGCAATGGGAAAGCTTTTGCTAAGACGAAGCCTGTAAATGCTGGAGACGCACCCGATACTGATAGTATTAGCGTAGTAGTAGCGGCAGCAGCAGCAGCAGGCTCGCGCTCCAGCAACGTGTTGCAAAATTGCTAGATTGATCGCACACGAACACTATTTCCCTACTTGGAACATGCATATAAAACATAAGTGGTGTTCAAGGCAGAGCCCCGTGGAATAATGTAAACTCCATGTCATGTGAACACATTTTTGTTGTCCAGGTGAACGCACGTGTGCTGCACATTTGTGTTGCACATGTTTCTCCACATGCGCGCATACGTGTGTTCCATGTGTACACAAAAGTGTGTTACAAATCAGCACAGAAGTTTGTTCTGGTTAAACATGTTTGTGTGATCCAGGTCTGCAGCATGCTTTAATCGCACACGCAGTGTTCCTGGACACATATTTGTGTTCCAGTGGTATACATATGTGCCCCACGTGTACACACATGTGTGCTTTTGTTGCACGTGTTTGTGTTCCAGGTGAACACGTGTGTTCCACGTGTGCACACATGTGTGTCTGAATTGGACACGCGCTTCAGTGTGTTCCAAGTGAACACATGTGTGTTCCACGTGAACACATTGACGTGTTGTAGGTGAACACATATGTGTGTTCCAGGTGTACGCATGTGTGTGTGTGTGCTTTACAAGAAGCACACGTTGGTTTTCCAGCTCAACACACATATGCGTGTGCCGCAGGTGAATGTATATGTGCGTGTGTGCTCACGGGTGCGCATCTGCGCGTGCCGCTTGTACTGTTTCCGTCGTGCAATATGTGTGTTCCACATGTACACACACACACACGTGTGTCTGAATTGGACATGTGTGTCTGAACTTTCCATGTGACCGCGCGCTTGCGCAGCCACACTTGCGTTCACGCGCGCGCGCGCTCTCGCCCGCTATCGCACGCGCTTGCCCAACCTCAGTTCCTGCGCGGCGCTGAAGCGCGAAGCACGCCAGCAACACACGTGCAGCCACGCAGCGCTTGCCCGTAAGTCCTCAACTGTTTGGGTCTCTGCTGGTGTAATTTTTGCGTGTGTGTGTGTGTGTGTCAGTGGGAGGGGCGATGATAATCTTCGCGTTGGCATGAGTAACCGTATTGAGTCAGGTGACGCTCCCCCAAACCTGACCAACAGGTGTGATCTTTGTGTTTGCAGGGGGAGGGGGTGGGAGGGGGTTGTGTCTGTTGCTTCAGCGGGGCTCCACTCATAGGCTTTGCCATGGCCATCTAGCTCAAGCTTGAAAGCTCTCCATCCATTGAGACAAAACAGAGCCTACGCTTGCAATTGTGTGGTCACTGCGTCCACACTCATGCCAAACTAAACACTGCGTTGCCTACCGATCCCCATGCTGAGAGTAAATAGAATCAGTAGCAGACAGAGACTTGTCTTTGAGGCGTTTATGGTCGATTCCTGGTGAACTCCTATTCTGACCCTTCAGGGGGTTGGAAGGGCGGGGGCAGGAACTGAGACAGCGACTTTGGCTGACGAAGGGCGTGCAAAAAAGTGCGCTGCCGTGAACTAGGCTGGGAAAGAGAACGGTGCGCAAAAAGCATTTCAAGGGCGGCATTCAAATTTATCCTGTCAAAGTCCCTGTAAATGTCCAAACATAGCTCCAGGAATCCACTTGAAAACGAGCTGATCCCGTCAAACCTGTGGCCCTCCCTGTTGTGGCTTATTTATCCCTGGCCGAAAGTGCAACAACACAAGAGCCACGGTTGTGAGAATTTGGAGCCTTCCATGTCCCTCATGGACCATGGAGATTTGGACCAAACCTCTCGAGACCAATCCCGAGCACAGCCAAGGTGCCAAGGCTCTTGGCCCTCCGACGCGCTCACCTAGCGAGCCAGAGCAAACCTCTTGGCCCCATGTACAATCTTCACCCTGGTGTGGTATTTTTTGGGGAAAGGGCAGAAATGATTGAGAAGTTGATAGCCAGAAACGGTCTCAAAAATAACGCCGGTCCCAAAAATGTTGGCCCCTTCTGAGATGCTTTGGGAAGTCTGAGATGGTTTGGCTAAAAGTCACAGGGACCTTGATGAAGGCTTTCTCTGAATATGATGGGAACCCAGGATTGATCAACCCCCGATTGATCGTACCTGCCGCCACGTTAGAGGGAATCCTGCACTTTTCTCTGGAGGTGAACTCCAACGCATTGACAGTCACCCCCCCCAAGTGGGGATTCGTCGGCCGTTTTGGAAATTTGCTCGAACACCTGGCAGGCGCAACACAGGCTTTGGTAAACGAAGGGGAATGGGAACTGTCCCCGGGAAAAAGTGCTTTGGTCCCGCAAAGGATCTTCCACAAGTCGTGCATTTGCTCATGTGCAGCCAGAGCAGTCGATATCTACAGGGAGCCCAATCCCTCCTCGAGTGGCTTTCCTGAGGTTCAGGTTGCTTTGCCATGCTTGCTGTTTGGCGGGATGCTGATGTTGTAGTGGTTCTGTCTGCCCCAAAAAGCGGTAACACAAACACATCGAATACTGACCCACTCACCTCGAAGTACTGCCAGCTGAGTGAACGGTTGATCATACACGCAACCCTTCAAACATCAAGCAGACAAATGAGCGCTCAAATGCTCAACCAGGAGGTGCTCACCTGAGATCCCAGTGTGGCTAGATCAAGAGGTGGTGTCGTTGCCCTGGGTTGCCTGGCAGAAAAGCGAACGGTAAGAATGTCATTCGGACAACTGGTCTTGCATTCCATTTCGAAGATCCAGACCAAAAGGTGTCTTGCACGGAACCAAGACCATCTCTTGTCCACCAAATCACCAACGGGGCGACAGGCTGCTGGGATTCACTGAAAGAAGCTGTCACTCGCCAGGGCCTGATTCGGAAAGGTTAAACTACCTAGTTGAAACCCAAAAACAGCAACATGTTTGCTCCACACATTCCAAGCTGCTCGAAAGACACCTCGGCTCAACGGCATGTTGAGGCCCTGTAAAGGCTACCCGGCTATGACTCTCTGGCTGGACACTTCTGCAGACCACCCTCCCTTCCAGCCTGTGAAGGTCATGGCTCATTGCACATTTTGCGGACAGGCGGTCCGCATCTAACTGCGTGCTGTCCAGCCGTTTCAACGTGGCTTGAACAGAAACCCAAGCAACCCCAAGCCCGGATCAGCGGCACCACTACAGCTCCGAGTGCTGTGTTCATTGCCGAGCAAGAAGGACATGGTATGTAGTTTTGTATTGTTCAACATGTAGCATGGCTGCATCTCCTCCCGTCTAATCTATCTTTCCACTGATTGAACTACTGACATCGCTACATCCCAATAGACTTGAGGCATTGGACATCATTGGGCGATTACGATTGTATTGTCTACTTAGGGGCAGTCAGAAACTGACAAGCTACTTACTGATTCAACCAGGTGTCACCATGTAAGGCTTGGATTGGTGCCCTGTCCTGGTGACTTGTCCACTGGCAGCCTATGGCTCAAGCGAAAGCCTCTGGAGCCCCGACAGATGTTCCAAACAAAATGCGAGTCGGGCCAAAAAGCGAAACCAAAGGAGCGGCTTCGATTTTCGGTTGGGACCGTTCCGATTGATTGTGGCTCAATTGAAGCTCCGGCAAAGCCGCACGTCAAGTCTCTGCTGACTCAGGACCGCCTTGCACGTATGCAAGCCAGAGAGCCTTGATTATGCGTGGGGCCCACTGCCCGGCGGGGTCAAGGTATTCTGCACGATGTTAGACATTTCATTAGTAAACCATAGCACACCAAAGGGGTCCCTGACTTTTGAATAGCCCATCAAACCAGGAATCTACCAGTGGTTGTTTCTTTCAACGTCTGTTTCAGGGTACATGCACTTCATGGACAGGTGTAGCGCGAAGTTCTCTCCTGGCTTCTATTTGTCTCCCGGGAAATTGGACTCGGGGCTCACAGTTTCAATAGACTTGGGTCTCCCGGAAGCACTCATACACCCCAAGAACCTTCACACAAAAATATGACTGTTAACTCAAAACCATAGGTTCGTCCAAGGGGTTAATATATGAACATATATATTCTGATTTGAGACACTGGACAACTGTTTCAGCACCTTTATGGTCTACCAAAGCGAGATGACTAGTGGCCGAGGGAATGGCTCAAAGGCAACCGGCGCTGATGGCTGTCCCTAAGCCTTAGTCCGAGTGTCCCCCCAGCGCTTCGCTTGGAAAATTTGGCTACATTCGGCCTAGCCATGTTTGGAGACCCTTGCAAATAATGTTAACCCCGGATTTATAAACCCCTGGTTGATTCATAGGGTGTCCCCTTTTAGTGGGAGTTCATCCCTCTTGGAGGGAACACCCCCCTAACAGTGGGACGGGTAAAACTAATCCTGGGTCAACATTAGCTCGTTTCCTCTTCCACAAAACATGGCATCCTCTATCCAATGGACTCCAAAAGCCCGGGCTTCCATCCTAAGTCCCAAAGCGCGGGTAGCACCCAAATGCAGCAGCCTCGCAATTAGATGTTGCAGGATTTTCGTGCGGATTGCCCGTCAGCCAAAAAACATGTGACCTGCTAGCAATCACGGGCTGGTATGTTCGCTTAAGAATTGGCTGTGGGTCAAAACCCTGTACCCCTGGTGAACATCAGAACAAATGGATGTTCATCTACCCCAAAATGAAGCCATAGGTTTTGCCCCATGGCCAATTCAACCGAAGCCGAAGCCCTGGACTGCATCAAACATTGATGGGCACCGACTCCCTTTCAAAAGGGTGAAAGGAGTCGCTAGCCCAATCCCCCCTGGCGCTCCGTTCGTCAATTCCCGTCAGCTGCGGGACTTCCTCTTTGCGTCCAAAGGTTCATTGCTTGCCTGAAGCAGCCTCTGAACTGTCCAGGAAACCCCCACATTGGGTTAAACATCCCCCTGCCTTGAGGGCTTAAGACGGGTGTTTGAAGGAATAACAAGGGAACTTCAAAAAAGGGTTTCCATATTTTGGTTACCCACAGACTTGAACCTAGGGGCCCGTGGCAATCAACCACTGGGTTTCAGTCTACCCTGTAACGAAACGACTGAAGCGGGCGTTTCGACCGCAGACGTCACCTTCCCCCGCCGCGCGCAGTTTTGGCCGCGCGTTGCGGCCCACGCTGTGCGGCCGACGCTGTGCGGCCGAGTGCTCACCTGAAACGCGAGGCCAGACGTGCTACCAAATTGTATCAACGGAATCGCCCAATCAACTGATAAATTGTCATAGAAATAAAACCAATACAATGATTGTCACAAAAACACACACATATCAGCAATGCTAGTTGACAAGAATGAAGACTGTGATACTGTGATTGTCACACAAAACACAAATATCAGCAATGCTAGTTGACAAGAATGAAGTCTGTGATACTATGATTGTCACACAAAACACACATGTCAGGAATGCTAGTTGAAGAGAATCAAGTCTGTAATACAATGATTGTCACACAAAACACACATGTCAGGAATGCTAATTGACAAGAATACAGTGTGTAATACAATGATTGTCACACACAACACACATGTCAGGAATGCTAGTTAATGAGCATACAATGTGTCATACAAACACATGTCAGAAATGCTAGTTGACGAGAATAAAGTCTGTAATACAATGGTTGTCACACAAAACACACATGTCAGGAATGCTAGTTGACGATAATACAGTCTGTAATACAATGGTTGTCACGCAAAACACACCAGGAATGATAGTTGACGATAATAAAGTCTGTAATACTATGATTGTCACACAAAACACAAATATCAGGAATGCTAGTTGACGAGAATCAAGTCTGCAATACAACGGTTGTCACACTAAACACACATGTCAGGAATGCTAGTTGACGAGAATACAGTCTGTAATGCAATGATTGTCACACAAAACATACATATCAGGAATGCTAGTTGACAAGAACAAAGTCTGTGATACTATGATTGTCACACAAAACACACATATCAGGAATGCTTGTTGACGAGAATACAGTCTGTAATACAAGGATTGTCACACAAAACACACATGTCAGGAATGCTGGTTGACGAGAATACAGTCTGTAATACAAGGATTGTCACACAAAACACACATGTCAGGAATGCAGGTTGACGAGAATACAGTCTGTAATACAATGATTGTCACACAAAACACACATGTCAGGAATGCTAGTTGACGAGAATACAGTCTGTAACAGAATGATTATCACACAAAAGACACATGTCAGGAATGCTAGTTAACGATAATACAGTCTGTAATACAATGGTTGTCCCGCAGACCAAACATATCAGGAATGCTACTTCACGATAATAAAGTCTGTGATAAAATGAGTGTCACACAAAACACACATGTCGGGAATGCTAGTTGACGAGAACAAAGTCTGTGATACTATGATTGTCACACAAAACATACATATCAGGAATGCTAGTTGACAAGAGCAAAGTCTGTGATACTATGGTTGTCACGCAGACCACACATATCCGGAATGCTAGTTGACGAGAACAAAGTCTGTGATACTATGATTGTCCCACAAAACATGCATATCAGGAATGCTAGTTGACAAGAACAAAGTCTGTGATACTATGATTGTCACACAAAACACACATATCAGGAATGCTAGTTGACGAGAATACAGTCTGTAATACAATGGTTGTCACACAAAACACACATGTCAGGAATGCTAGTTGACGAGAATACAGTCTGTAATAGAATGATTATCACACAAAAGACACATGTCAGGAATGCTAGTTAACGAGAATACAGTCTGTAATACAATGGTTGTCACGCAGACCACACATATCAGGAATGCTAGTTCACGATAATAAAGTCTCTAATACTATGAGTGTCACACAAAACACACATGTCAGGAATGCTAGTTGACAAGAACAAAGTCTGTTGTGATACTATAATTGTCACACAAAACATACATATCAGGAATGCTAGTTGACAAGAACAAAGTCTGTGATACTATGATTGTCACACAAAACACACATATCAGGAATGCTTGTTGACGAGAATACAGTCTGTAATACAATGATTGTCACACAAAACACACATGTCAGGAATGCTAGTTGACGAGAATACAGTGTGCAATACAATGATTGTCACACAAAACACACATGTCAGGAATGCTAGTTAACGAGAATACAGTCTGTAATACAATGGTTGTCACGCAGACCACACATATCAGGAATGCTAGTTGACGAAAAAAAAGTCTGCAATACAATGATTGTCACACAAAACACACATATCAGGAATGCTAGTTGACAAGAACAAAGTCTGTTGTGATACTATAATTGTCACACAAAACATACATATCAGGAATGCTAGTTGACAAGAACAAAGTCTGTGATACTATGATTGTCACACAAAACACACATATCAGGAATGCTTGTTGACGAGAATACAGTCTGTAATACAAGGATTGTCACACAAAACACACATGTCAGGAATGCTGGTTGACGAGAATACAGTCTGTAATACAATGATTGTCACACAAAACACACATGTCAGGAATGCTAGTTAACGAGAATACAGTCTGTAATACAATGGTTGTCACGCAAAACACACCAATAATGCTGGTTGACGAGAAAAAAGTCTGTAATACAATGGTTGTCACGCAGACCACACATATCAGGAATGCTAGTTGACGATAATAAAGCCTGCAATACAATGATTGTCACACAAAACGCACATATCAGGAATGCTAGTTGACAAGAACAAAGTCTGTTGTGACAGTATGATTGTCACACAAAACACACATATCAGGAATGCTAGTTGACGAGAGCAAAGTCTGTGATACTATGATTGTCACACAAAACACACATTTCAGGAATGCTAGTTGAAGAGAATCAAGTCTGCACTACTGTAGTTACTGAAAGACCCCAACAGAATGTCTCAAAGGATTGCCTGGCAGACTTTCTCATGGGTGAGCTTGCTATCCCCACAGAAGCTCGCCATGTGTAGCGAAAAAAAGCTGTTGTGCCCATGTTCCTGTACATGTCAAGTAAGTTCTCATGAGGAAGTGGCATGTACATGAATTTGGAAGTAACCCGTCGTGTACAAGTCTGGATCTTCCGTGTCCGTTTCCTCTCACTGCGTGTCTGCTCTTCCGTGCTTGAGAGACTTAAAAGACAAAAACCTAAAAGTACAAACAGGAGACTAAGAATACAATTCTTCATGAAAAACAAGAAACAAAAACTGTCAGGCGACCATGGGCAAGGGAATCCTTGGGGTATCACAATGGAGGTCCCCTTAGTCCCCTGAAGCTATCTCACTTGCCCACAGCCACCCTTCTGACATGATGGTTTGCAAACACTTTCAGACAGCGAGCCAGACCACGTCCGCCAAAAAGCAGCTACTACAACGTTTTACAAATCAAGAAAACAACATCTACGGACTTTCTGGAGGCGTAGTTCAGCCAGGCTGGAGAAATAATTCAGCCAGTGACTGACATATCTTTGAAGGATGCAAATTGGACCATAAATCGGCGATGCTTGTGCTGTATTCAAAGAAGGCAGCCAAACTTTTTTGCAGACAAGGCCCAGCGCACGTTCGCGGAGTTGAACCAAGAACGCACAAGCAGGCCGCATTGTGGAAAGCCGTCCAGCTTTATTAGGAAGGTCGAGGGCGATGAGGGTGCTGATGTTCACATGAAGGTTTACCTTCATTTCAAATTGACGCAAAATACATGCAAATATGGATGATATATCGACCTTCTTGCTGTTTGCGTCACAAGCTGCTGAGACTCAAGGAGCTCCGAGTCCGACCGCGTTGCTTTTAGCCTCTGAGCCCCTTGCTCTTCGGTCCGAACAAACTGCCACGTATCGAGCAACGCGTGGCAAGTACAAACGCTCAACCGGACGTCCAATCGGGCGACCAAAGCTGAGGGAGACACCCTAAAGGTGTTTGTTCCTTTCAACCCTCCTAAACGGTGTGTAAAACTGCGAACGGCGGATGTAGCCGCCCACGCCTGGGGCTGAAGATGGACCAAATGCCGTAGGAAAAGAGGAGGACCTTTCGCTCGCACGTCCCTAAGGGAGGGGAAACAGGAGCCTTGGGCCTTGGGGGTTCTGGAGGTTTCCGGTGTTCCGGTCATAAGTGGGGAAGCTGATGAGTTACCCTGCCCCCTGATCCAGCTTTTGGCTGTCGGCTTGGGCTTTTTGTACGTTTATTTAAGACGTGTTCTGTCCGGTTTTGTAGCCCGTATTATACTGAGCTCAGAGGGAACTTGAATCTTTGTTTCAGCGTTTGGCGAATGCACGAAGCAACGAGCACGGCTGCTTGCAGTTTCTCCTCACTCACAACACTCTAGCCTTACCCGACATGTCTGTCTTGTCCATTCAAAACAAATTAGCGGGAATGGATGGCTCCAGAATCACAAGTGGAAACAATGAAAAGCGAACCTTGCCCATTCTAGCGTTGGACACCTCCTTCAAAGTTAAACCTGTCCTCGGCGACCAACCACCGAGACTTCTTCAAGATGATGCACACCCGCCCTCCGACTTGTGGCCTTTTAGAACTAACGTGGACATGACGACGGCCCCCATGGACGTGCTGCTCAACATGTTGCCCCCCTTCGGTTCAAGGCACGGACTTCAAGAAAACAAAACACAAGATCCCGGCGATGGGCAACCGGGAAAACTTTGCCACTTTATTGGGGAACCGGGATTGGTTTATCCCAGGGTTTCCTGAATCCTAACTGCGGGATTCTCGGCAGGATGTTTCAAGCCAGCGGTTCTGCCATCCGAGGCTTCCCGCGGACAAGCCCATCCGCGTGTCGGCATCGGGGGGCATGTCGCCCTGGGCAACGCATGGGAATGCTCACCTGGCTGAGTTGGGAAACCCATTTTTCTGCCCCATGGACACACCACGCAAAGTGGATGGCGATGGAGATTGTTTGCAGCCAAACTTCTAGATCAGGTCAACATTTCGTCCAAGAATGTATCCTCTAAGGGACCCAGGGGAAAATTCTGGGACACCGGGGCCAGAGCCTTTCGACTGAAGAAATTCGCCTTTCAAGGGCATCCCATTTTTGGATTTGTGAACTTTGCAAGCAAGTGAGAACATAGTACTGGCTTGCACCTCCCACCACGCGCTTACTGTCCAATCTGAAGATAGATTGCTACCTACGTTGGGCTCCGGCTAAATTCGCACCGGCCTTGTCCGGTGTCCCTCAACGACTTAGCTGGATTGCCTTCTGAAAAAAAAAAGAAACATGCCAAACAGCAGTTTGACATGATAATCGGTAGATAAACAACAAAAAAAACACAGTGTCAAACACACTATCGGACATGGACGGCACCACGCCTCCAAACACGCCCTCAACCTAATGGATCTTCCGCAAAGGTTGAGCTGCGCAGGTCCAGCTTCCAAGAACCCAGGATTTGCATGGCAATGGTTGGCGCAATCTAGGACCCCTGATATGAGCATGGAGGACATGAACTAGGCTCAACATCGACGATACTAAACATCTGCTGATCTGTGTTCAATTCAGGGCAATGGGCCGGTTGCCGCGCAGGAAGAGAGATGCTCCCGTTCAACTCGATCGTCACAAGGGTGACCCAACACATCCTCACCCCTAGCTGGAAATTATGTGGGTCCCTGTGGTGCCATTCTCTTGAGCTTCGAAGCACCTCGAGGCAGCTGGGGTTTTGGCCAGCATTTGCCCCGCACCGAAGCTGCCGCAAATGGCACCTGCTCACATCAAAACGTTTCTACTTTCACTGGCTAAAACAGGCCCGTCCGAGCGTTTCCTGACATAGGGCAATACTGAATTTGCGACAATAGGGGGCGGGGGTTCCCTTTTGGCTTCCTGCAAAATCCCCAATATGAGGAAACACCCGTGACAGGACGCTTCTGGGAGAAGGAATGTAGGTGTCCTGCGGACAAATTGGTGGCACTAGTAATTAAGCCATGTTGAGGTCCAAACATGGGGCCCACCGGTGGCTTCCGCGTGTAGATAATGTCGAGCAGGTTGGGAATTCCCGCGTGGTTTCACAAAGGTGTTGCGCAGTGTTCAGTGGTTGTGGGTGGAGGGTGGGGAGTAGTCGGGGACCGGGGTGAAGAAAAGCTAAAATGACATATAGCCACTGACCAGGGTCTGGGGCCCCCATCTGTTTCAACATGTTCGCACATGTTTGAACCACTGTGTAAACAAGCTCTTTCTGGCTAACCCACTGCCCAAGCAAGCCTGCCAACCTGCAGGCCTGGCAAGGTTGCAAAACTGCAGCCCTTCCCAACCTGCCAAAGTTTCTCAACTCACTGCCCAAGCAAAGCTGCCAAACTACAGACCTGGCAGGCTTAAAGAGATCCACTCTGGTTGTTTAAGACAGTGGTACTTGTCGAACGACTATTGGCCCAACTTCAGCGCGGCTTCGCACACGCAACAATAAGTGATCACTGGGTCTGTCTAACATAGGAAACCCGATAGAACGTGTTTATGTTAAGGGAGCGAAAAGGGGGCAACGGTGAGCTCATCACAGGTACGCGGAAAAAAACCCTCTCTGTGATTCCATGGGTTTCGCATGACTTGATCACTTCAAGGAACCCCAAAAACTCAAAGACTCAAAAACTCACAAAGATCAACAATTCAAAGACTCAAACAGAAAGTGACGAAGCCCCAAAACCTCAAAGTCCCCTGCCTGCCGCCAGAGGGAAGGCCACCTGGTTGGGGTCCACCACGTGGCCCAGCAACCAGTGCCGCCACGCCGCCGCGAGGCCTCGGCCACTCTACCAGGCGGTCTAAGCTGATGTCCGTCTGTCTGCTGGGAGACATCTTCATTTTTTTACCCCCCCCCCAAAAAAAAAAAAAAACGACACTCTGGGATTTTCAGGGTTTAAGATGGTTTAAGGTTTATGGGCAATCCATGTGAGAAACACTTCCGAGACTTCTTGAGTCTAAACATCCGACCAAAGAGCAGCCAAGCAAAATGGGGGTGGTGTTCACGGGTCATTTTTCAAGCGGGTTTGAACTGAAGCAACACGCAAACTTCACCATTTGAAGGGTGGGGGCATCTCAAGAATTGTGACTTTTGCGGACATCCTCTGCCGTCACTTTGCAATGAGTCATTCCCCATAGGCTGGTACACGTTTCTGATGGGATAATGGGGGGTGTCCCGTCCTTCAGTGTTGGGGAATACGCCATTTTACCTCTGCCAGGTTCAACATTGACCCAATTCCATGTTTGAGAAACCCAAAAAAACGAACCCGGTGCCCCTTTACTCACAAAAAATACGAACTGTCCCTTGAATTCGTTTTCGCTTCACCCAATGCCCGAGCACTTGCTGGAATCTTGCTCCACTTGGCCCACTCTTCGCCCGTAGCGGAGCGTGTTGCATTTGTTCTCGAGTTGCCCTGGACCCAAGCAAACAGTACAAAGGAAAACACGCACACCTGAATGATTCTCACCCTTCTGAACATATGCCTAACATGCGTCGATCAGCCATAAAGCCATTGTTCCAAGCAGCCCAGGTCAGTTGAAGCATGACTGGCCGGAATGAGGATCCCCACCCCATCTCATCATCTTATTTCTACGAAAAGTCGACCAGCATCTCCAGCAATACCAGCATCGCCCAGAACATGAGAACGCAGGGTGCATCCCCTGCATCATCTGCAACCAGAAAACGGCTAGAATGGGACCTCAAAACAAGAAAGAACACGCAGTTGGGCTCATTCCAGCGTATTTTTTGGCGCAAACAGAACGCCACGCAAATGTTATTCCGCACCTTGCCCACCCCCCCCACCCCCACCCCCACCCCCACCCCCAAAAATACAGAAACATATCTTGATAGAACTTCTACACCCCATCATTTTAAAATAATAATTTATAAAAATAGTCCAAATATTAAATAAGGTTAGTACATTATTAATGTTCATTAACCTTATCTAATTCCAGAAAATAGTTTTACTTCATACAAATATGATATAAGGTTAATAAGTTATTCTACATATTAACCTTATACAATTTTATGTAAAATATATATTGATTAAAATAGTGTCATTTTTTATTCTGCCTGTTTCATTTCTTTTTTTGTTATGCTTATCTGTTTTAAGATGTTGATAATAACTGTCTTGCCTCATTGAACGATTACAAACATCACAACTTACAATAATTATTGACCTTTCCTTTTTCGCTTCCTGCTTTTTTGTTCTATATTCATCATCTTCTTCATATCTTCTTCGTTGCTCCTCATTGTATATGTCTTTATGATTTGCTCTACGATTTACAGTATATTCATTACATTTTCTACAACATAACCTACCTTCTTCAAATTCATCTTCTGCATTTTTATTTCTACATTTATCACAAAATTTAGTTTTATTTTCTGCCATAATCCTTAATATATAATATCTACATTCCTTTAGACCATTTTCTTATAATCAACAGTTTCTAAATCAACATTCCTTGAAACCAAATCTCCATATTCTCAAAATATAAATCACATAATTTCAAAATATGGATCTTACAATTTAATTGTATTGTAAGGTTTATGGGTTGAAATAATAGTCAGGCAATATGTCTTCAAATATGCAATCTACATATTTACCTATATCATCTTCATCTATATATATTTGATATTGTCTTTTCCTACTATTGAATGAATATATTCCCAGAAAAACAAACTAACTAATAGACATACTCTATATTTAGTGTTTTAGTAATACCATATACTATATTTAGTTGCTCTAAATTCGTTCAAGACCTCGTTTATTTTATCTTTGTTTAATAAATGCCAGTCAATCCATTCAAACAAATAACTTTTTTTGACAAATGCTTTATATGGTTTAATTGCGTTTGTCCCTCCAAACCTCCTACTTAAATCTTCATTACTAAATAATTCATCAATTTCTTTTTCAAATGACTTTCTGGCAATCTTATGGTAAAAGTGTCTAGGATATCTTGCTTGGTATTGCATAAAGAATTTTAATGTTAACTGAAACTTTTTATATCCCTTATCCTTGTGTTCTTCAAGAAACATTTTTCCAAGGTCTCTTGTTATACAGCATTGATTGCAATATACATTATATTCACTTATTTTATTGCAAACATTAGCAGGTAATAAATGGTGTAATGTTAAACTAACATCATTCATTTTGCATTTACAGCATTCGCACTTGTTATAGTTAAACAACATTTCACTATAATATATTATATCATTATTTCCTTAAGTCATTGTTTAGCGAATTAAATTAGATATTTTATGTTTTTGTATTTCTATAAGTCTTTCATATCGTCTTACCATTCCATCTGACTAAAAAACAATTTACAGAACTTTCACCTGCTAATTCACAAGTTTTTATCAATTCATTAAAGTATTTTTCAACTGCGTCTCATCGTGCTCTAATGCAAGGCTTGATTTAAACCCTTCATAAAAGTCTTTCTTGTTAGTTAAAGTACTTAACATCTAGCAAAGCATACTTATCTCTTTCATCTTCATAGTGTTCTTTTACCTTTCTCATTTCGTTTATTAATTCGATTTGTTCTTTTATTTCTGCGTGTATCTTCATTACTACATTAAGTCATCATCTCTTTAATTATCCAGTGTCCATATGCTAAACTATCACCTGTATTTGTCCAGTATCTTTTGTTTTCATAACTATTCAAACTAACTTTTTTAGTTGTAATACTATAAATTTTATGGTTTTTACTTCTAATACTATTGAATGATTTATGTATAACTTCATTAGTTTGTAAAACCTTATCATATTCTTTATATGTCAGTTGCCTCTTTACTACGTGCTTTGCTGTGCCCTTGCATTTCTTATGTTCTTTTTCTTCTCCATAGAAATGAAAAGCGTAACACTTAGGACGAAGACCAATAAACCCTGTAATAATTTTGCTACTGCATTCATCCTTAAATTTACCCAATGTCTATTTATGTCTAGTATCATAGTATTTATGATAAATAGGATAATCTGAAAAGTCCATTTCATCTTGAATATCATTAAGGTCTTTATAAATGTCATCAGTTTTAGTATGAAATAAGGTCTTTATAAATGTCATCAGTTTTATTCTGAAATACAAAACTATCAGTGTCAGTATAAACCATTCTAATGTTATCTCCGTATTTAGGTTTCATAACATCATAATAATACTTATACATATGGTGCTTACTCAAATCTAAAATACTCAATCCAATGAGTATAGGTTTATCTAATTTCAATTTGGTTTCTGTTTTTCAACTCCTACTAAATTCTCGCTGATAGTATGACTATGTTTAAATGATGGATTCTTGACACATTTCATAAATCGTGTTTCATCACTAACTATTTCAAAATATAAATGTTTCCTTGTGTCTTCCATTGGTTTTCCGAACACGGCATTATTCATTAATTTAAAGACATCTTTATCAAAATCATGTCTGGCTTTCTTTCTTTTCTCAGTGTTAAATTCAATGTAAGGTATCTCTTTCTGACTGAAGTTTATTGCTCTATGTATTTTCTTTAGTTTCAATCCGTGTTTTAAATAAAACTGTAAAGTTCTAATATGGACTACATACGTTTCTTTGTCTTTTAAATTCAATATTAATTTATTTGTTTTTTTTTCATCTTTAGGTTTTTTCTTATTCAGTATTTCATAAATTTCAACTTGTTTATCTGATAACATATCTGCGTTAACATTCATAGTTTCAGGCGCTAATGGATAATCATTATGTAAATCGTGTAGTTCTTTCGGGTATTCTAAATCAACGTCTAAGATGTATCCAGTATTATCATTATCATAGTTTAAAATATCATCTGTTATTTTAGTATCCCACTTTAAATTTTTGTCTGGTAGTTTTTGTATCATTGCTAATCCATATAAGTTATTAGCATCGAAAAAGTTAATATAACTACTTTCTTTGCTTTCGTCAAAATCATCGCCCATATAAATATGATTTGCCTCTACTTTTTTACAGGCAGTCTGTGTCATCCCACCACGAAGTCCGGTCTCTATCATTTCATACATATCTTGGTCATAAACTAAATCTATTTCAACACCAGTTAATTTTAACATAGCATCAAAAGCAAAATTAGGCAGTGTGTAGTCATATACTGGGTCTAAACCGTAATCTTGAATACATACATCTCTGAAATTTGCAAAATCCGCCGACCCCTTCTCCTCAAAGGGGAGGCGCACGGGAAGGGTGGTTGCAGTACAAGCGCATGGATTAATCTTTGAGGCAAGCATATGACTACTGGCATCATACGGATGCCCATCATCATCATCATCGATATGATCCTTCATCATTCTTATCGTCAACATCATCATCATCATTTCTATATCCTTCAACATCATCATCTCTTATTAGCCGGCACTGGTGATGCCGAGGATGTCATCATCATCTCTTATTAGGCAGCACTGGTGATGCAAAGGGTGTTATGATGATAGTTGTCATCATAATCATCATCATGATCATCCTTATTATGATGTCATCGCTCTTCTCATCATCATCATGATGATCATCATCATCTCATTCTTATTCTTATTCTTATATGCATTTCAAAAGTAACGTTAGGCCCCATTGGCAATGCAGAGGATGCTACGATGATAGTTATCATCACAGTCCTCATCCTTATCATCACTATCATCATGGTCATCATCATCTCTTGTTAGCCGGCACTGATGATGCCGAGGATGCTACGATGATAGTTATCATCACAGTCCTCATCCTTGTCATCAGTATCATCACGGTCATCACCATCTCTTATTAGGCAGCACTGGTGATGCAAAGGGTGT